TCATGTGCTAACCATTTCTAAAGTTGAAATAAATGTTTGAAAAGATTTTTACTAAAAATAGGTTAGTTAAATCTCATATATTGCAAAGTAAGTTTGGGCAGCATAGAGAAACTGTCTCATTGAGGCTTTGCACCACCCTCACAATGTATACAAAACAAATGTGTTTGACCTCCTCCAACATGTTGGCACAGGAAAGCAAGAGGAAAGTTAGCTGTGACAGTTTTACTACATTTGCTGGTCACAGATTGATTCTTGGCAGTGACACATTGGTCAGATGATGGAAGATGTCAGATCAAATTGTACATGTAGATATACTAATGCAAACTCTGAAATCACAGGGTTCATTCACTCAGAAGGCTATAAAATACGCGCTGGAGATTGCTCCACCCCCCCCCCACCCACCCCGCCAGTGCCCCTTCAAAAAACAATAAATAAATAAACAATAATACCTTGTGTATCTCAATTTTCAAGCATAGATTATAGGAACAAGCATTATAAACATGTTGTTGAAATCACTCTTGATGGCATTTTATGTCTTATATCAACATATGTTTTCATCTTCACTGGCAAAGAATATTCTGAAGAGATCAATGGGAAGGTTAGGAATTGATGGAAGTTCATCTAGTGGAAGTAGGTCTATTGTTCAATGGAAATGAAGGGGTCATTTTCCTTGTCAAACTGAATTTATTGATTTCCTTTTTTGATCTGGGAAACATGAGAATTGACAAAATCTGACTTACTCTTTATCATTTTACCACAACGGAAATGCAAAAAATGATTCCAAACAAGCAGAATCTTATTTTGATGGACCTTTGTATGAATTCAAAGAGTTATCTCTTCTCCAAGGGGAGGTGCGCAGTGTTAGCTGGTACTGCACACCTACAGAAATAACATTTGAATCTAATGGAAGACATAGGACTGTTCCATATGAGGAGTTTTTAATGCTTGGTGGTATGCTGAAAATTTCTTCTTGAGTTATCCAGCCAACATGCTATGTTATTCTGATCAAATTCATTGTGTTTCTGCTATTGTAGATTCAGATGGGATCAGTGAATCTGATAAATCTACAATTACAAATACATTGTTATCTCAAGATAAAGGCTCTCAAGCTGCTAGAATTAAGGCATCCAGAAATAATGCCATTTCAGGTGAGTATTCAAGATGTATGATCCACATTTTCTTTTCAAATCAAGTAAACAGTTGAATCTTCTGACAAGATGACAAGTACTTTTGCCCAATTTTACACAAAACCAATCCCAAAACAGCTGATAAAAAGAAATATATTTGGCCCAATGGGCCTCCAAACCTGACAAAAGAAAGCCAGACATTTAATTCTAGCCAGGGTCATAGTAAAATCACTTACACATTCTTCCACACACCTGTTGTGGCAAAAAACAAGTGATCTTATACACTTAAGCTTGCGATTTTTCTGGTAAGCTTGGAAACCCCCTATGCATCATTACTTGGAATTTTTTTGACTGATTTTAAGTGAGAATTACTTTTAATTGAGGCCTTTCAGAAATGATGAATATAAATACATCAATAAAAGCAATTTGTTCTTGGAAGATAATCCATTTAACCTGTTCCTTTTGATTCAAAATTTTATATTGTTACAGAATTGATTATCATTGTCACATAAGGTCATTTTTGGATTGTGTCTCACATGAGAGTATTCATTATTTTCCTTTACTGTCCAATCATTTTTCAAGTTATTTTTTCTTGTTGTTCAATTTTTGCTCTGAATTCAAGATGAGTCAAATTATGAAAGCATCACATGTGTTCTAAAATAGAAACTTTATGCATCTCAAACTTCCTGTGAGATTTGGAATGATGATTCCCAAAATTCAACATGAATGGATCAATTGGATTTTAACATGAATGTTTTCAAGTACATCATTATCAATTCACATATCTGACATTGAGTTCACAATTCAATTCACAACCAATTCTGTTTAGGATGAAATTTGTTTAGAAAGAGTATAACCAAACTTATTGTTAGTGATCAATTCTAAGATGAGTTTTATGAAGAAAAACCTGGCCTATCGGGGATCAATGTACTAGCTTAAATTGTCAAATATAACCATTATCATGCATTTTTTTTGTATCTTGGAACCAACAAATTTTGGAGAAGAGTTTCTGAATGCTTATCTCATCTTCTCTATATTCAATATTGAATGAGTATTTTTCTTCCCTAATTTGATGATCTTGAAAATATCCTCTTTCTCCAAGTAAAAAGAATACCAAGACATTTTCAAGACATATGATCTATCACTCTGTATCTTTACCGCAAAAGGGGATCTATTGGTTAAAACCCCCTGCGGTAAGGTTGCCCAAAGGTGACTGATGTAAGATTGGTATCCTCAACAAATTCATATCAGTTGGGCCCACCAATACATCAGAACAGAGGAAGAATTTATTGGTGGTCCCGGCCAATATAAAATTGGTTGAGGAGACTGATCATATATTGGTTGCCTCTGGAAGAACTTACAGCAGGTGGCTGTAACCCATTCAAACCCTTTTGCAGTGCTTGAGTGTGAAGCCCCTCTCTTTTCCAGACTTCACAAGTCTTCCATGGATTACATAATCCCCAGCTTGATCATTTCAATTAGTTTCATCCTTTCCTCCTCATTCCTAGTTTGGCAGAGTTCTTCCCTCTCCAGTGCTAAATATGCCTTCTCTTCTCTTCTCTTCTCTTCTCTTCTTTCTTACCTTTCTCCCTCCTTATTACTTTCTAGTTGTACTCATAAGAGTTCTTTTCTCTCCATTTCTAGCAATTCACCCCACTGTTGGTCCTAGAAGCTCTCTTCCTGGCTATTGAGCCTTGTATTGGTCACTTTGGAACAAACAGTGAAGATTCAAAAGCAGAATCTTAGAGAATCTCCAGCAGAGCTGGGGTGAATTTCCGGCCAAATAGCGGCCTGGGACCACATTTCACACCCCTGTCTCAGCTCTGTCACACTGCTCCCACAGCAGACTGGTAATAGGTAGCAGGGGGTGGTTGGCCAAGATGCCAAGCTTGGTAGACAACTAGAAACCTCTGCCAACAAACACATCTCCACAATGAACCTGATGGATCAACTCAATATCATGGATGAGGACAACAATTATTGTGCCATCCAACTTTCCTCAAAAATAACAATTGGATTGGTTTCTTATATTGGGCTTGCGCGAGGTCATTTGTATTAGAGATGGCCCCGTGCCATCATATCCCCTCTGTTTTTCAGCAGAAGGGGGCATCCGCACCAGATGGCAGGTATCTGTTGGCCACAGAGGGTATCCACGGATACCCGCCCTCCAAAATGGCGGCAAAGCAGCTGGCTGGAAGGGTTTCCTTCCGGTTGACAAGGTACATGTACCCCGCCGGCTGGAAGGAAGCCCTTCCAGCCGGCCATCTCCCCTTCTGGCCTTGGGTATCCTTGGGGATACCCGCCAGGGTTTTGCGGAAAAGGGGCCATCTGCACCCGCTGGCGGGTATCCGCCAGCAGATAAAGGGTATCCGCAACGGATACCCTTCAACCATCTTTAGTTTGGATTGTTTGGAGAGGATCTACTGGAAGGTTGGATGCTTCCTTTGCAGGAGGCATATCTAGTTGTTGAAGTATTGGATCAAGCATTGTGTTGTTGGTGTGTTGGTGGGTGACTTGAGGAAAACACAGTGAAGAGGGGAGTAGCCAGTCTCTTCCAAGGCGGCTATTGCCTTGGACTGCTAGCCGGGGACAAGGTGAGGGGCAATCAGTTGAGGGTCTAGTTGTGGCTCTGCTAGAGCCCATAATTCTCCCGCAAGCCGCTTATTTGGGCTGAAAATTGCCCAGTCGCGGCTCTGCTGAAGATGCTCTTACATTGCGTTCCTGATATCTTTACTTTGGATTTCCCATTTGCACTACAAATTAAAAATTGAAATTGAGTTGTGAATCAGAGGAAATGCATCCTAATTTGGTATGTTGTAAGAAAAGGGGAATCTTGGAGATAGCAGGAATTACGGGTTGATCCACAACCCCTGAGGCCAGAATTGGGGATTTTCAATAAAACAATGTATTCTTTTTCCAGCATGGCTATGAATGGCACACATATCTGCTTTTTTTGAATCTTGATGAAATTGGGGAAAACCTGAAGCTTCTTCTTCTCCAAAGGAATCCCAAATCCTCACTTTGTGTCCAAGCAGTTCCACAGCTATTACTCAGAAGGGTGCTTGAGTTTTCTGTCATGACTCATTGGGTTTTTTGGCAATAGCCTATAGGAAGTCCAAAAGCCATGTCTGAGAAATTTTATCACAAATTTTGATGTGTGGCATTGACCACAAAGTGTTTTGCTGGAATTGAATGAAAACAAAAACAGCTAATATTAATGATTGATTGGGAAACCACACTGAAACCATATCTGAATTCTAAATAACTGTTTGAACAAGAAAATACTTCAAATGAGTACAGTTATACTTATGTATACAATATGTTGCAAAGTAAGATTGGATGGTGCAGCCCATAACTGAAAGTCTGAGAGGCTGTTTCAATGAGGCTTTGAAACACCTTGACAATTATACAGAACCATTTGTTTCACCTGTTCCAATGTCACAGTGTCACCTATTCCAACACAAGTTGAAGCATCTGTAATAGTTTTAATACATTTTGTTCTTGTAGATACCTAACCTTGGCCATCTACATCTGTTTCCAACAATGTCAGGTGTTTGGTCAAAAGGATGTGTTTAGAATTCATAAATACAAACTCCAAAACAACAGCACAATTCAGCACACAACTCATGAGTGCACCTAAGTCAAGCTACATGCTGATCACCAGAAGGCTAAGCAATATAAAAGTCACACTTTCAGTTGGATAAATTTCCTCTTTTCCCCACCACCCTCAAGAATAGAAGATAAAAATAATAAAACCTCATCTATCTTGATAATAAATAATAAAATATTAGAAAAATCATTAAAAAAATGTTACTGAAATCAATCTTGATGATGTTTTGCATCTTCTATCACTGTATGCTTCCAGAGTCTTTTGCAAAACCTATAATGAAAAGCTCCATTTTTAAAGGAGGGGAAACTTCATCTCTTGGAGGTGAGTGTTTTTCCAGATGAAGTATGATTGTAATTGAGTGGCAATCTTTTAATTTAATAAACCACTGATAAATGTAAAATATGTCTCACATTTTACCTGTGCCTAACACTTTCTAATTCCATGGGGTTCATAATGGAAATCCAAAAATCAATTCTAACCAAGAAGAATCCCCTTTTGAAGGACCGTTGTACAAATATGAAGAAATAGTGCATGCCCAGGGGAAGTTTTTGGTCACTACCTATTATCGTACACCCATAAAATTAGAATTTCCTTTCAATGGAAAAGATATCTCCATATCATTAAATGAATTTTCAAAGAACAGTGGTATGCTGGATAATACTTATCAATTCCCTCAAAAATTATTTATGCAATGCTTATTGATTTTTTTTGGTAGATTCATTGGGAATCAGTAAAGAAGAAAAAGAGAAAGTCACCAAGACAATTAACTCTGAAGAAAATGGTGCTCAAAGTTCTACAATGGGCCAAAATAAGGGAAAAGAGCTTTCCAGTAAGTCTTACAAATGTATTTCAGTTTTACTCAATTCTTAATATATATCAACATCATTGACAATTCATTTTATTTTATTTTTCAAAAAACAAAAAGTTGAGGAAAAGGAAAAAATTTGGCCTGATGGTCCCCCACGCTTTGATGAGAAGAAATATGGAATTAAATTACGCGATGCCAATGGTGACAGAACAATATTCTACAAATATTCCCATACCCCTTACGTTGTTACAGAGCTCAACTTAAATCCTTGAACTATTCTGGTATGCTGCAAAGAACCCTGTCATTATCTGTTTCCTCAATTTGACTGATTCAAAGTATTCTTATTTTCTAATTCAGTTCTCTGATCAAGGGTGAATATTGATTGGTTGATTGAAGATGCCAATTCTTGGAAAATATTACATCATGCTTGATATTATCTGCTTTTACAGAATTTATTATCATAGTCTCCTGTTTCATTTTTTTGATTGCTTCTCTCATGAAATGATCAATTGTTTTCTCATTTTATCTGCTGTTTTCTTTTCTTTTCAATTCTCCTTTGGTCTCCTGTTCCCATTTTTGTTCCTCCCACAATTATTGTCAAGTTTCCTGGAAATCTTTTCCTGGCTAGTTCAAGTGCTAATTCTCTTATTGAATCTTAGCCCCTGTCTTGCTCTCCAGTTGTCATTTTCAACTTTCTCTCATGAATGAAATTACACAGTGGAGGAATTCCTTTCAGATCTGGGACCCTTGCAGATGTTGAACTAGACCCAAAAAGTCTAGAATTTCACTGGAGAATTTAGCCTCCAAGGCTCTAAATTGCTTCTGGGAGACCCACAGATGTTGACAGGAAGTGGATGACTTCCCGTCACAATCTAAGACCCTTTCAGAAGTTGATTTACACCCCTTAGATCTAAAGTTTTCATCAAAAAAAATATTTTTTATGAAGCCCTCTGGCAATAGCTCTCACTTAATTGTGTTCTTAATTTAAGACTGAGAGAGGTCTAAAAAGCACTCTAAATGGCGATGGGAAGTCCTCCAGTTGTCCAGTAGCTTTTTTCATTTTTATCAAGTCAAGTGCCCAAATTTCTGTTCATCTATGATCCCAGTCTCTTAAGCCCTGTTTGGACTTTAGATTTCATGAGTTACACGGGATACCTCCGTGGCCCTCCGATCATCCCCCCGCCTTTGATCTTGACCTTTTGTCTTTTGTTGACTTCTTGCCAGCCAAGTCCGATCGAGTGCAGCAGTGCCTTTTCTCTGCAACCTTGAACTCAAATGGCGTTATACAGCTGGAGGAACCCACTAGAAAGGAGAATGTCCGTCGGGACACACGAACCGACAGCAGAGTCGTCTGGCGGGACAAACGGAAGAGAAGTAGTACCTCCCCTTCAGACAAGCGGACCGGCAGCGAAACCAAAGATTCGCAAGAGATGCTCAGAGTGCGTGCTTCAAAAAAAATATTGAACTCTTGAATAATACGTGATATGTCAATTCTCACACTTTCACTTTACATTTCCTCTGTTTTTTTTTTTCGCGGGACGGTTATTACTTGAATTTGAATGGAACGACCGACGGCTACTTGAATTTGAATGGAACGTTTTGATTGATCTACTCATCATTCGACAATGGATTGACCTACAGAGCACGGGAGTCCTACAAACGCAGGCGAGGTATGGGGATAAGCGCTCACGATCTGACCAAGAAGATTCGGAAACTCGACTTATTCCCTGAAATCTCGAAGGAACTTGCCATAGAAGTAGAAGAAGCTTTGAAGGATCTTCAGGAATATGAGGAAAATTCGAAAAAGTATCCCGATCAAAGCTTTCCAAACCCCATGGATCGTACAATACTTCCGCGACTTCCAACCGAAGATGAATACGCGGAGGCTCTGAAAGAAGTCCAAGATAACTTTAGGACTATTGACCATGGCTACGTGAGGATATTCGATGCGAAAAGCGTTAACATCATTTGCATTGTTATGTACACCAAACTTTCGGACTTGAATCAATGCCTACGACCACAGCTCGACTTTCTATGCGAATTCCTCCATGGCTGCAAGTCGTTTATCATACCTCCTACTTCCGAAGATCCCCCCGAAGGGTACTTCATGTCGGCCATGGGTTGGTCCCAGAATATGACTCGACTCAAAATTCTTGATCAATACCGGGACGAAAAGGCCATCGAAACGAATCGAGAGGTCTATGACCAACTCATGGCAGGTTCCGAGAAAGCGGGAGGGACTCTCTGGAACATGTACAATAGACTCGCGAGCAGAGTTGCTGAGAAGACTATGAAACACTTCAAGAAACCCAGTGGCACCTTGCCTGCCGACAAAGATTTACCAGCCGTAGATGCGAACGACGACGAATCAACGAATCAAGTAGCGGGCAATCTAGCGTTTCCTACTAACGGTTTCTACGCTGATCACTATTGGGATAAAGAAACGCTTCCCAAACCGCCAACGGCCTTCGCACTAGTCCTACCTACATCCAAATCGACCGGCCAGATCAAATCGAGATCTGAAGGCTATCAAGTCGATCATGGTCAACTGGTCTTTCCCGATGTCAAGATCGCCCTCACCTTCCCACCAGACACTGTGTGCGAGATAGTCTTCCAACCTCATGAGTATGCCCATGGAACTATGAAGGCTAAGGCGTTTGGAGATTCGTCTAGATTGGGGATCTGTATCCAGGCAGCGCCCAGTTCTACTTATGTAGTCAATAAACTTTTAGAAGTACCTCCTAATGAAGAAACTAGTACATCGGAAAAGTAGTTTATTATCTTGACTTGTTAACCCCCAAAATTCTGATGCTGCAGTAGTGATTGAATAGTATTCATTACTGGGAGTTCCATAGCCAATTTGTGCTCTTTCTTGAGTTGTTTGTAATTATATCAACGCCCCAACCTCTCATTCCACAAGTGAAAAATTCACATTTATAAAAATCACTTTTACTCTTACTTTTTCTATTCTTTGTTTGATTTCTCTCTTCAAAAAGAGGTTATTGAGAATGAAATCACGTGAATACATAAGAGTGGAAAAGAAGAATGAGGTTGTGAGTGTAGCTGCACTTAATTAATGTTGGACATTTGGAAGCCACCATCCAAGTAGAGACTTCATTTCCATGTGGTTTGGCAAGCCCAGACCCGGCCCGAGCCCACTGGGACGCGTGACAGAAGCGGATATTTTGTGTGCCAGCGGAGATTTCAAGTTGCGCCAAGTCTGAACTCACTGTGCTTTACCGATTGTCCAAACGAAAATGAAGAACCATTCCCCGTCGGCCATTTCGGCCGAGAAACACTTGGTCTGGATTGATTGTGAGGCATGTGATTGGATCTGTTCTCCGTCTTTGTGTTCAATCGATCTGACATAACTGAAGGTCGACGCAGATGACTGGTCTGGACGTGACTGTGGACCAAATAATTGAGATCGCGTGCATCATCACTGATAGTCAGTATAATGTCGTCCCTGCTTGTTGGACGCAGCAGGAACGCCTTTATATTTGCAAGAGAGCGAACGGAGTCAATGTTAATTTTAAAACTATCAATCACACATACGTATAACAGAAGATTTGAAGGAGCTGGATGACGGGATCCAATTCGTGATACATGTGGACCAATCCGTTCTTGATCGAATGGGGCCGTGGTGAGCGATTCAGCTAGGGTGATATCATCATCCGACTTCTGTAAGGGAACTGATCAATCACCCGTAAATTCACAGGTGTCAGAATCAGCATGGAAAGGTCTCTCCCGCCATCTATCGTACATGCCATAGAACGCCTTGTTGATGAAGATTTCGTTGTCCATTGGTGCCAGTCGGGATTGTCCGAAGCTTGCCTCCAATCGCCACATACATTGACAGAAGTAGATCAGAAGATTCGCCGTTATCTTGAGCTCCACTTGCCCGGACTTAAAGGCAAAGCGGTTCTAGCAGGGAACTCGGTGTACGCAGACAAGATGTTCTTGGTCAGTTGTTAAGATTCTCTATGGTTGACCACAAAAACTGACGGAAATTTCAAGATAACCTTTAATGCACTTGTCACTATTGATTTGTTGTCAGGACAAGGACCTACCTTTGGTGTCGGAATATTTACATTATCGTCTTGTAGACGTGAGCTCGATTAAAGAGTGAGTGAACTAATAATCCATACTTCCCGACTCGACTTGCTTATCGAACCCACGAAATAGACTTGCCAGGAGATGGGAGCCCAAGCTTGTAGAGCTCGCAAAACCCGCCAGTATACCCTCTAAACATCGGTAGGTCGCTCTTCTGACTGGACTTCAAATCTTCGGTCTCTCAAGTCCTCTTTCCCCTTCTTGCATTGTACAGCGCACTCGACGACATTCGCGACTCGATATCTGGTGTGTCTAAGACTTCCCCTTCATGTCAAACTCGTCGGGTATTTGTCGCATGCTGACTGTCATGTTTCCCCGCAGAGCTACGATTCTATCGAAAGAATTTCTTTCTCCCATCCACGAATTCTGGCAATCCTTGAGCCGCCTTGTTTACACTTCTCCTACCTCCCCTGATTACACATGTTCAAGCCTTTCAGTAGGGCGCTTTTCCCATCCTCAACTAATGGCTAATGCGCCGCTTTGCGAATTGATTGTATATAGTAAATATGATTTTTTTTTCTGAAATTAAGGAAACCGATTAGTATTTCCCATGTCTATTAATAAGCTTACAAACGGATGATGCGATGGTCACGATTGGTAACAACAAGAAACTAAAGTACAATTTTGACAAAGGAACAAAACTGCGTGGAAAGGTATATGTTAGAGAATAAGCTGGAAATGTTGAGGTTGCAAGTGAAATTGAAATCCGTGGAGTTAGGCTAGAATGATTCAACCCATCAAGAGGTCTTACAGCCATCCATGATGGTTGTCTTGGGAAAGGTATAACCTGCTTGCGACCACGTTCTGTAGTGAGAGATTGTGGATATCAGTCTTGTCAGTTACCGATCATTTCGTACAAACAAACAAACAAACTCACGTCAAGTTGGTGTTTTGATAAGCATCCCAATGATCATTGATGCTGTAATAGATGGTGCGAACAGGATGTTAGCATACGCCAGGCCAAAATGACATGCGCCTGGAATCACTGGAAGAAGTGGAAAGAACTGAACTATTTCTCGGTTGGGTAGTCTTTTGGACTGCAACCAACATTCTTGTGGCCTTTGCGTTGGTACTGATCAAAGATAGTTATATTTGAGTCAATCCGACAATGCCGATAAGTGGTGGGCAATCAGGACAGGGCTTACGAATCGAACATAATCAAACCTCATGTGCGCTGGGAAAGTAAGTTGTGCTTCATTGACCGGTACGAAGGTGTCACTGAGTCCCTGTAAATCCATAAAAATAAATATCAAGGTGAGGATGCGGGAAAGCCAACTAAACCCAGTCGAATCAAACTAACCAGGTTCAAAATCATATACATTGGTTCGTTCGAAATCAATCTTTGACCGACCATACTACGCGAATTCGGCTGTAAAGCAGTTGAGTTTAAAGTCCAAGTCGGCTTTTGGGCAAGGCTCCAAGTACTGTCGCAGAATAGATAAAATAAACGTCAGACGGATGGATTACGAGAATAGCGACGCCAATTGTCAACAGTTGAGAAGAAGTCTTACATGTGAGAATTCTCTTGGTCCTTTTGGTGAAAATAGGTATAGAATAATGGCAAATACGTAAATGGCTGGGATCTTCCTCAATCAATACTTCAAATATAATCACAACTCACAGCCTACAAACGCATATATCAAGTGATGTCGTGGTTAGTTGAGGGTTTGGGCTCATGCATTCGAGGAAAAAAAGAAACGCTTACAGGTGCCCATTCTAGGCCATACGCCATTGATTGGTTGCCGTCTAACTCGACTGTTAAAGCGGAGGAAATCTTTTGTCAGCCATAGACAGAAAGAGATTCAGATGAATGATTAAACGAACAATTGGATGGCGGTAAAGTTGCAAGAGAAGAAAGAGTCTGTTGACGATTGCCACCGTGGTAAGGATTGACGTTGGTCCTGAAGCCTGATTCGGGGTAGATTTGATATGTTGAACCGAGTTTGGAGTTCCACTGTCAAGATTCGATCAGGAAATCGAAAGGGTTAGCATCTAACGCGAAACTGAACCAAAAGGGGATGAAGTGTTGCTAACAGTTCTTTTGTCATCGTAAGGTGCGATTTGAAGAGATTGTGATCCATAGGCTGTGCCAGTCTTCTCATAAGAATATGCTTCAATCATGTCGATTTCAGGGGAGGAACGGCCTTTGTAAGTTCCATCAGACATTCTGGGACCCGGATGACTATTGCGCCATTAACGAAACCCAATTGTTAGAAACCTTATAGAAAAATAAAGAAGCATGACGAGAAGAAGACCAACTCTTCTCCGGCGCAAGTACAGCGACTGAGCTTCTGACCAGGTTGCCAGGAAAGATCTCCAACTTCCTAGGGATCGATTGTAAAATTCGAGAATTGGTGAGCTCAAACTCGAAACTTTCTTCAGGAAGAATTCAAGACTGACTGAGGTCAAAACCGTGGTGCCGGGTTCACCAGTCTTAGGATGGGTTTGATTGGGCATGGCCTAAAACACACGTGAGTCGCGTAAAAGGTAAGTCTTTGTTCGCATGTGGAAGACCCTGATTTTGCTAAAAACGACTTACCCCGAGATCACAAGTATCATAGCTGTACGGCCATGTCCCATCGGTAGTAGCGCCAAAGCCAGGTCTTGCCAAATTACCCATGGTCCAGATGGCAGCTGTTAGAAGGTGCAAATGATTGAGCAACAGACCAGACAAGTGATTGAAAGTTTCGAATACAGCTTGGAATGCTTGAGCTTACGCCAAAATCCACCGATGTCATGCTTGCCGGGCATGATCACGCCCGCTGAATGGAGTGAAAACCGATGTTAATATGGTGAAGAGGCTTGACAGAGAGAGATCAGGAGGATGACTACGAACTTTCCATGTATCCTCCCGTAAAACACAACTTGTTCCAGCTGGTCAACATGCCGCTGCGGTAGTCGAGGTTGTGATTGATACCTGCATCCATTTTGTTCATTCTGATGACCAAATAACCGCCCTCTGTCTTCGCGCCGTCAGGATCATACCATTCTCGATCACCTGGTCGATGGAAGTAATCTTATCAGCTGCAGAATTTCAAAGCTTTGAACAGTGGAATGAATTACCCGTTGGCCAATAATGTTGATCAGCAGCCTCCCCTGGAACAAAATAAGTAAGAAGGGTAAGGAGTCGTTTGCCGGAAGAGCGAATTTAACAAAAGGATATCGTACAGAAAGGATCATCTCCTTTCCAAAAGGTGCGACCATCGACATTGAACTCGTCACTGAACACAAGTTCATATTCCTCTCCGTCAGCGCCGACTCTAGATCTGGCCTCACGTGGTGTGTCGGGATCAATGAGCTCTCGGAAGCCGGGGATAGTGGGCTGAGTACAATCAAGAAAGGAGATGGAAAAATGTCAGCTAGACTTTTTCAAATAAAAATACCACGGATTAAAAGTTGGGAAAAATTTACGGCTCGCATATAGCCACCCAAGTTGTTTCTTCCTCCAGACAGCAAATCTCTGAAAGTGTGCTCTCTGAAATAGGCAAGAATAGGCCATCCTGATCGAACAGTCATATTATCAATTATTGCATCAAAGAAATCTGCCAGTATGTCATGAGTGAAAGACTGTGGTAGCTACCTGCGAACAACATAACCAAACCGCCAATTAATATCGTAAGGGCGCCTGTAGATTTTGCACCATCAGGAGAAAACAGGCACATCAACCTCTGCTACACTTCGTAATAAACCCAATCAAGTTGTGTGAATCCTCACATAAGTTAGCCCAACCTCTGGATGACCACATAGTGAAGCTACTGGAGGTCTCCGATATGTACCGACTGGCGCCGAAACGGGGGGTCTTTTTCTCGACCGCATGCATTTCATCAGCTGGGCCAGGCGAGAGTAATTCCTCGGTCAAGAAGCCCAAGTCAGCTGCGCCATAGGAGTATCTTGCAGCGTTTTCAGGGGTCTCAGATGAATAATTGTCAGCGATTTTGTCGGAAGAGGCTTTGCTGAGATGGCTGCCAGGATTTCTGCTGTTTTGAGTTCCATTATGAACCCAGTCGTAGCGGCCTTGTCCAAACGATGGCTCAGTAGATCCTCCAGGTGATTGATGGCTCATGAAATAAGGTGAGTAGGAGCTGGTGCTTGATGGTCGATTCCTCCGCACGGGCACTTCGGCGTAAAATTGATCTTCTTGAGAGTATGGAGAACTCATGATGACGGCTTGAAGTTATCAAGGGTCGCCTAGAGACTGGCTTTCACGCAGGGAGTTGAGTGGCTTGCTTCTTTGGATAGTTCTTTTTTTTGAAGAGGGGGGAGGCTGCAATTTTCGATTATTGACGTGCTTGCCACCCGAGGTTGGATGCTCGATGGCGGCTGGTTGTTGGTGCGGGTGTCAATTTTTCTTTTTTTTTTTTTTGGTCCGGGATGCAGGCCCTGGCGAACGGGTTGAAAACTGGTAGTATTATTGGGGAGACGGAATCGGTGATTGATTCTAGTTGGGTGGTGTGGAGAAGGGTGCAAGAAAGGGGCAGGATGAAAAGGAACCAACAGCGCCGCAAGGATTGAAACGGAACTGGTGACGACTCGACGGAGGGTACAACAAGTAATGTAATTGAACTACTTTGGTAATTTCCAATCACCCTGGTTGAAAGTCCAGGGGGGGGGGGGGGAACGTACAAAAACGAAGAACTTATTTAAATGACCAAGAGCATAGGGTGGGAGAGTCACATTTGATTGGAGTCATTGCAGTTGGCAACCGAGGGCAGTAACCAGCTGCGTGACGTTTGATGTTTTGGCGAAAGGCCAAGTGAGTGAATTTCTTTGAGGGCTGCTCTCGGTCACTACCTGTTACTACGTACACCTTGACTGAAGATCCCAGCCTTTTGACTCCGGCTTGGTTGATCATGTTTCAATCGGGGTATGTAGCAACCCTCCATCGCAGTCGAAAGTCAATCCTGATGCTCACTCATCAAGCTTCTACCAAAGAGTTATCATGTCATGATGTCGGGTGTGACTCGTGAGCGCGCAGGCAAACGGCCGGTCTCCATTGCCTGGGGCCCGGGCCATTTTCTACGTGGCCTGCACTGGATGAAACAAGATGTTGCTGTTGACATGGGTAACCTTGGGTTTCTACGATAAAAACGAACTCGGATCTAATATTTTGCTTGTATGTTTCCCAATGAGTAGGCCCCATCTGCAAGCCGAATACTGATGTGTGGCTCCTCTGCACAAGTTAAGTCGGATTGAGGATCTCATGAGTATAAACAACCTGCCAAGTGCTCTTCAAAGTTGTTGCAATTGGGCTTGTGACTGCCGGAAGCACTCTTTGCGTGAATGTTTGGACTCAGACAAGGATCGGCGGCCATGTTCCAACTGGACCGCGGTGTCACATGAGACTATCCAATATTGCCAATCCATCGCCGACAACAAAGAAGCTGAGATCGCACACCTGACTGAAAGCAACATTTAAGCATGGAAAAACCAAGACCCTGGAGAAGGATGCGCCGTTGAGGGAGTGCTTCCTTGGCAACCACCGCCTCCAGGGAAGGCGCGCCAACTTGACGATCCTACTGCAAGTGCCAAATATCCAATGGAGACGGCAAATGCGGAGGACATATTCAAAACAATTACCCAAATTCCAGTCACAATTCCTAAAGGCCCAATCATCTGGACTGCGTTTGCGCTACTGGTTGCAGATGTAGGACAAGACAGCGGGGTGAATGGTTCAGAATTCTTGACCAAGGAGTAACATTCCTACCACGTTTATCCTTCAATAATGCTGCGCTGCCTTTCTTGAGCTGAGACAGGGTTTTTTTTTACCAGATGTGCTTTTGGGATCAAAGGTCTACAGCCATGAAGCCTACTTGACAGGGCTATATCTGAAGGGGGTCTCCATTTTTAAGGGGGGTTTATACAAACACAGTGGCATTCGCGCGACACGGGGCGCGTCGAATATCGATGACTCGATACCCAACTCAATTCCCATCCTCCAAATTGTAACATCCCAACGAGAGGAAACGACGATCCGAGCGATGGCACCATTCAAACCACGCGGCCGAGGCTCATACAGTTCGTTCCGAGGCCGGGGGCGAGGCGGATACAAGCCCGGTGGAGGACGCGGCGGCGGGACCAAAGGGCCGGGGGGAGTGAACCGGACGGCGGACGGGCTGGTACTCGAGAATGACCAGGATCGCGAGGGTACAGAAAGTCTAGAGAAGTGGAACCGAGCCCAACAGGATCGGGAAATCGACGAGTCGCTCGGCTTCGTGCGCTTCGATCAGGGCCAGCCAAGGGTCGGCTGGCTGATCAACATCCAACCTGTGAGTATCCCCCAGCCCGAGCATCCCCCATTTTTTTGTCTTGGTCTGAGATCGCTCTTGTGTTGTCCTCCCCAAGACCCTCGTCCAGGAGGCTTTGGGTCCGCAGACCGATAAGGCCGAAGGCCCGTCACAGCCCAGCGCTGCAGTTGACCTCTATTTCCTCCAGGACGATGGCAGCATGTTCCGGTCCACGCTCATCTATCATCCCTACTTCCTCATCGCCAGCAGGGTCGGAAAAGAGGCCGAGGTCGAGGAATGGATTCGCAAAAAGTACGACGGTCAGGTGATGAAAGTCGAAGGCGTGATCAAGGAAGATTTGAAATTGGTAAAAAGTCAAAATCCACCACTCGCTCTACTCAGCTAGCTCACATACATGTATTCTTCCCTGCCCGCTACACTCTAGCCAAACCATCTAGCCGGCCATAAACGGCGATTTCTCAAGCTGGTTTTCCGGAATGTTGACCAGCTGTTACGAGTTCGACGAGACCTGTTGGCGGTCGCGTTGAGCAACAACGCAAAGATGGATGCGCTGGACAGTTATGCTGAGGTAGTCAAGGCGGGCCGAGGCGAGTTTGATGGAATGGACATCGAGGACTTTGACTCTCTTGACTTTAACGGTGTCCAAGATACCCTCGGCGGAACCGCTTCCAGGAAGGGCAAACTACGCAGCCTCGTCTCCAAGTCCAATTCTCTCCAGCCTGCCGCTACTCTTCCTTCAGAATGGATCGTCGACATTCGAGAGTATGACATCCCGTACTATCTCCGGGTCGCCATCGACAAAAGTCCGCCGCTCTTCTCTCAAAGATCATCCCACAGCCAACGTTCCTCTAATTTTTGGTTTTATACGCGTTTTTGATGCTTAGACTTGCGAGTCGGACTCTGGTACACCGTCGCCATCGAGCAAAACAATGTCACCTGTACGATAATCCCAGAACGAGTAGAACGAGCTGAACCGGTGGTGATGGCGTACGATATCGAGACCACTAAGGCTCCACTCAAATTCCCGGACTCAGCCAACGATCAAATTATGATGATCTCTTACATGATCGATGGGCAGGTACCTCTCTTCACCCATTCTCACTTTATTCCCTAGGCCCGCCCCTTGTTGATTCACTTTCTTTTTTATTTGCTTGGGCAGGGCTTTTTGATCACTAATCGTGAGATCGTCGCCGACGATATCGCTGATTTCGATTATTCCCCCAAGCCGGAGTACGAGGGTCAATTTACGATCTTCAATGAAGAGAACGAGGTTCGCGCCTAGTTTTTATTACTATTACTATTATTTACTTTTGAAGGGTTCTTGTGGCCCACTGGCTTAGACCCTAAGAATTACAGCAATTGTTACAGCAATTGTGCTGATCAAAACTATGGTGATGGTCTAGCTGGCCTTGATTCGCCGATGGTTTGATCACATCCGCGACGCCCGACCGACGGTGATGGCCACCTACAACGGAGACAGCTTCGATTTCCCCTTCGTCTATGCTCGAGCGGCCATCCATGGGCTCGACATGTTCAAGGAGATTGGCTTCAATCCGGACTCGGAGTCCGAATTCAGATCCAGGACTTGCATTCACATGGATTGTTTCAAGTAACCTCCGCCCCTTTCTTGTCCTTCTCGCCAAAAGAGTAAAGCTCTGACTTGGCTTACAACTCCATCCATACTTGTCTTACCAGATGGGTCAAGCGTGATTCTTACCTGCCTCAGGGAAGCCAAGGCCTCAAGGCCGTCACCGTTGCCAAACTGGGCTATAATCCTATCGAGCTCGATCCTGAGCTGATGACTCCGTGAGTAGCACTTCAGCCTTGGACTTCATGATCAACTCTTAACATATTACTTGGTTCCTTCTATTAGATACGCGGTCGAACAACCTCAGATCTTGGCTCAATACTCCGTCTCCGACGCTGTTGCCACATACTATCTTTACATGAAATATGTTCATCCCTTCATATTCTCCCTGTGTAACATCATTCCTTTGAATCCGGATGAAGTATTGCGGAAAGGCTCCGGTACCTTGTGCGAAACTCTTCTTATGGTAAGTGTCTTGGTCTGTTGGCGATGAAACTCCACAATGACTGCTGTTACTTACGGTCTTTGATAATTATGGCTAACCGCGGTCTCAACGCATTGGATCTCAAGGTTGAGGCATTCAATAGTAGTATCATCATGCCGAATCGCCACACTGATCCTCATGGTACCATGTACAACGGCCACCTCCTTGAAAGTGAAACATACGTTGGAGGCCATGTGGAGGCCTTGGAAGCTGGTGTTTTTCGCTCTGACATCCTTTCAGATTTTAAATTGGTACCAAGCCGATGTCAGCAGGTATGGCCTTGGTTTTCTTCAATTGGTATGATTACAAATCAAGACGCGTCAATCTAGTCAGCTGACTCCCTTGACTGCCTCTGTAGCTCATCGACGAGCTCGATAGTGCTTTAAAATTCAGCATAGTCGAGGAGGGGCAGTACGCGTTGGAAGATGTTGTCAATTACGATGATGTCAGAGCGGCTATTCAGGAAGCCTTGGAGACTATGCGCGATGAGCCCGACCGGCAGGAGTTCCCATTGATCTATCATCTTGATGTTGCCGCCATGTATCCCAACATCATGTTGTCAAATCGACTCCAGCCGGATTCCGTCGTCAGTGAAGGGATGTGCGCCGCATGCGATTATAACCGACCCAATAAAACTTGTGATCGGCGGATGCAGTGGGCTTGGAGAGGGGAATACTTTCCTGCCAAACTGGATGAATACAAGATGATTCGAAACGCCATCGAATCCGAAGTCTTTCCATCCAAGAAACCTGGCCAACCGCCCCGCAAGTTTGGCGACTTGGCACCCGCCGAACAAACAACCCTTCTACATAAACGGTTGGGCGACTATTCCCGTAAGGTTTATAGGAAAACTCACGAGACTACAATCGAGGAAAAAACGGCCATCATTTGTCAACGAGAGAATCCCTTCTACATCGACACTGTCAGAGCCTTTCGTGACAGGAGATATACATATAAAGGTTTACATAAGACTTGGAAGAAGAAGGCCGACCAAGCTCAACAGGAGGGTCGCTCGGTGGGCGAAATCGCCGAAGCGAAGAAGATGATTGTGATCTATGATTCTCTTCAGCTTGCGCACAAATGTATCTTGAATTCTTTCTATGGCTATGTGATGAGGAAAGGTGCACGCTGGCATTCTATGGAGATGGCTGGGATCACATGTTTGACCGGAGCAAGAATCATCCAAGCCGCGCGTGAAATTATTGAAGAAGTCGGCCGACCCTTGGAACTGGATACCGATGGGATCTGGTGCATGCTACCTAAGATCTTTCCCGACAACTTTACCTTCAAACTCACCAATGGGAAAACCCATGCGATCTCATATCCTTGCTCCATCTTGAACCATCTGGTTCACCAAAGATTTACTAATGACGCATATCATCAATGGAACCCTGAAACCAAGACCTATGATGTCAGGAACGAAAACAGTATCTTCTTCGAACTCGACGGTCCTTACCGGGCTATGATTCTACCCTCCTCGAAGGAAGAAGACAAGCTGCTCAAGAAGCGTTACGCCGTTTTCAACCCCGATGGCTCTCTTGCTGAATTAAAAGGGTTTGAAGTCAAAAGGCGTGGTGAATTACAGCTCATCAAGATCTTTCAAACCTCAATTTTTGAAAAATTCCTTGTCGGAGACGACCTGAAGGCATGTTATGATGCTGTAGCTCAGGTGGCTAATCGATGGCTCGACGTATTGGCAACCAAGGCTATTAGCATGCACGATGAAGAACTGATCGACCTCATTTCTGAAAATCGAAGCATGTCTAAAACCTTGGCGGAGTATGGGGCTCAGAAGTCAACATCGATCAGAACGGCTAAGCGCCTGTCTGAATTTTTGGGTAATCAGATGGTCAAGGATAAAGGGTTGTCTTGTCGCTTTATCATCTCCGCCAAACCCCATGGCTCGCCGGTGACCGATCGAGCTGTCCCGGTCGCCATCTTCTCCGCAGAGCCTTCAGTTCAGAAACACTTTTTGCGAAAATGGCTCAAAGATAACTCCTTGGTCGATTTGTCATTAAGGTCAATCCTGGATTGGGGTTATTACACCGAGCGGCTTGGATCAGTCATCCAAAAATTGATCACCATTCCAGCTGCTATGCAAAAAGTACTCAATCCGGTCCCCAGAATCCATCATCCTGATTGGCTCGCGAGACGATTGGCAACCCGTGAGGATACCTTCAAGCAACATAAGATAGATGACATGTTCGCGCGACAAGCTCCTCTGTCTGCCGAAGATCTCGAAGCCCTTCGCGCTGTAAAGCAGAAGAAAGCAGACGCCCTCGCCCGCAAGGAGCCCCCAAGTCTTCCACCCCTTCCCAAGCCATCATTCCATATCGATTATTCTGGATGGATTGCTGCAATGAAACCCATCTGGCGCGCCCAACGGACAGCCAAGAAGGCAACAAGCGGCTCAAAATTTGTACCAGGTAGCATCGCTTCAATGTTACATGTCCAAAACCTCAAAGTGGTTAGCCATTCTTCCCATCTCGAACTTGTCCAACTCTCACCCAACCCACTAAAACCTGGAGAATTCCAAGCCTGGGTATTATTCAACGATGTTCTCCAGCCCGCCCGAATTACCGTCTTGCGCGAGTTCTACGTCAACCTCAAGCATGAGCCCGGGCCCGATTTCTTTCCCGAATCGTGCATGGCTGAACCAATCGTGAAAACCCTTCCTAGATCACAGGCCCGTATCAATCTCTTCAAGATATCCGTAACCGAGAAATCTTACATTGAGGATGCCTCTTATTATCAAAAGATGGTCACTTCTCCGGAGGTTGAAGGGGTGTATGAACGTCAGGTTCCATTGCTGCAGCGCGCTTTGATCAGGCTTGGTGCAACTTGCTCCCTGTCTTCTCAAAGTCGACTCTCACTTGTAGACGGAATAGACAAAGGGTTTGACTTGTCCGACTTGACGAGCTTGGAACAGCAGGTCTCCCAACGACGATACCTTGACAAGGGCAAAGCGATTCGCTATGTTCTTGTTTATCACTTCCAATCTGGCAGCCGACACGCAGTCGGTATCTTCAATACAAACGCTGCTGCCCAAATCTTTATCACCGATCGTTCTTCCGCCCCGCAAGTACCAAACATACAAAAGTATTACAAGAATGTGCTCAATTCACGGCTTGCAATCATGGAGAAAGAACCAGGTGTTTTCGAGTATGATCCCAATATGCTAGTCGAGGTCACAAATGTTGCAACGGAGACCTTAGCGTTGAAAGCTATCAGCCGTGAGCTGGCCCTGCTCAAAGGTCAAAAGACAGGTCCCGGCTACGTTTTGATGATTCATTCAATGAAAGATCTGTCCTATTACCAAGAAAAAGTCTTATCGGTTTCGAAATATCCGGTTGTGATGGTGCATTCTAGTCAAGCCGATAACAAATTTGAAGCGTTTGGCTGGCAGCGCTTTGCTGCTGAGAGGATGGTACAACACTACGTCCGTGCATCGTCCTTCCTCCGTGAACGAGTCGCTCAAGCCGAACAATTTGATGTACCCGTTGCCAACTTCGAGATGGATGCACCTCGAAGCTTGATGGACCTTGAATTTGCCAGAAGGCTCACTAAGGCTGACCATCTCATCTGGTGGTCTGCATCTCGAAAACCTGACCTTGGGGGGAAGGAAGCCGATCTGAACACCGAGCTTGTTATGGATGTCTTGTCCAATCCTGAAATTAGTGTGATGGGTGCTTACTCAGATGCCTCTGTTGAGCTCACCATCCAACACCTCGCCATGAATTCGGTACTACAATCTTCCTGGGTCTATGAGATCTCAGGAGGGACTGGCGGCTCACTGGGCTTTCAAGACGCTTCACATAACTTAGATGATTACTCTAAAGGCTCGGTTGCATCCTCTCTCCTAGGAGATTCCGATCTGCCTGTCCAAACGTTCACGTTGTTCCGTACGATGGTCCGGGCGTGGATTGCGGAATCTGCAAGAGCTGGCACGGGACATCACTATGTGGGGCTCATCAAGCACTTCTGGAGATGGTTGAGCTCGTCATCTTCAAGCATGTTTGATCCCGCTCTCTATCGGTTTGTCCATGGCTTGATGAAGAAAGTGTTCTCGCAATTATTGGCCGAGTTCAGACGACTGGGAACAAGAATTATTTACGCAGACTTTGGGCGAATTTTTCTTCTAACTTCCAAACCTAACTCGGCTAGTGCCTTGGCTTATGCGTCGTACATTGTAACAGCTATCAATGGCAGAGATTTATTCAAGTTTCTTGAATTGGATATCGTGCGCTTTTGGGAACAACTGCTCTGGGTGGACGCAACCAACTTTGCGGGTATCACCTGCGGTGATCCTCTGAAAGCTTCCGACTCAGAGGTAGTTGAGAATATTGACATGAACTGGAACATGGTCAATTTCCTGCCACCGGCCCTTCAGCAAGATTTTCTACACGTCGTTTGTCTGTACGTGTATGACCTTCATCAATGCCATGGCCAAGCCAGTAGCAATGACCAAATCCAATTGGAGGTCGATCGAAAACAGATCGAAGCCCAGCTCTTGCGCTCCCTAGTCAATTCCAAGATCACACGCCAAACACTAAAGATTGTCAACCAAATAATTGAGCGACAAAACAAAGCTGCTGCCGATGATGAGCTCCGAACAACATTTGATTTCCCTAGACTTCCTGGCTCACATATCGCAATGAAGAAGCCGGTACTAGAGTTTGTCAAGATGGTATGTTTCGTGATGGAGTTGGCGACGCTTGTGACGGCCGAAGTCCGAATCATGAAGCGGGTCCTACTCGACTTGATTGGTGTCCGAGAGTTCTCGAACGAGGCGGTTTTCAAGAACCCGTGTATCCCGTTCAAGATTCCGGATACGATCTGCAGGCACTGCAGTGCCGTCCGAAGCTTCGACTTGTCGCGGGACTCGGACCTTCTGGCGAGCGCGTCAACCCGCCGGGTCGGCCAGCCGCCAGAATGGCTGTGCGGGCATTGTGGCCAGTCTTACGACCGGCTGGGGATCGAAGCCATGCTGATCGAGCAATTGCACAAGCAAGTGGCCTCCTTCCAGCTCCAGGATCTGCGCTGCTCGCGGTGCGCCCAGCTCAAGGAAGACACCATGAGCCTCAGATGCCCTTGCTCTGGTGAATACATCCTCGCCGGTGACGCCGGCTCACAGGCTGACCGCCCCTCTTCCGCCCACCTCGAGAGACGCCTTGCGGTCGCCCGCTCGGTAGCCGAGGCCCACCAACTTGACGTCCTCCTGGAATTCGTCCAATGGCTCAATTCACAAATCGCTTGAAGTCCCTCATCTTCATCCTTTCAGGGGTTGGCCTAGGTGGGTAACTAAGTTCATCTGCCATTCATGCGAGCTTCCCCCGTGTTGACTTCTGTGCCTTCATTTCCTCTTCCTTCACAGGCTTTCTTCAAGTATTCTCTTTGACTCAGTCTATGACTTGTGTACAATTTATCCACTCTACCATCCAACGGTCTCTCAACTATACCAACCATCATCATCATTTGTTCATTTCTCTTTCTTCATAGATGCAACCCTTATCTCTCATAAAATGGGGATATACACCCCTTTGAATTCATGTATATGTATGCACCTCGTCATTATTTCTTCATTTCTACTTCCTTACTTTTTGTTATCTGTATTTTTTTTTTCTATCTTTCTTCATGTAATATTGGACATTGTACATATGAATGTTTGGGTTCTATTACAAACACAAGTTTTTTTGGTGTTGGGGCTTTCAAGTTAACTAAAAGCCCAGGGATTGGTCAATCAAAACTTCAAATTGATCATGAGTGCAGGAAAGATATGCAACATCTGCAGCAATCGTGGGATGCTACAATTTTTGCCCAAAAAGTGCTTTGTAGCATTTTATTTTTTTTTTTGGGGGGGGGGGGTGCAGAAAGCCATGCTCTGCAGTCCTTCAAGTAGGTTGTTTGAGCTTCCAAGCAAAAGAAAGATGGAACAGAATTGGACATTTGCACTGTTTATAAGACATGTTCCAAAAAAGTCTCATGCCACATATTGACAGATGAGAAAGAACACTAAATAAATTCACTTGTTCAGGGTCAAAAAAGACATTTTGTGCAATATGCTTGAACAGACTGTCTTCTTCTATCATTTCTTTTGCTGAAGATATATCTTCCAAACAAAATGGTAAGAATGAGAGCTCCCTGATCCTCCCTGCTTCCCTGAAGGGAACAGTGTTGTAGTGCAGTGTGGTGGCTGCAGATATTTTTTAGGATAATGCTAACATTCAACAAACTTGACTAAGTCCCTCCTTGTCTGAGGCTTCTGCCAGAGGGACTTGTGACTCATCAGGTAGCACATCTGATGATCTGGCCCAATTTTTCTCAAAGAGCTCCAACAGGTCAAACAGGTTATACAGCCTGATCAAATGGGAGTAACTCTGTCAGGCCAACCAGGTTACACAGCTTTTTTTAGGGGCTTGGTTAAACGGATCCCAAAAAGTGGAGAGCCAACTCCCAAGCCCCGAAATCCCTGACTTTTGGGAGTCAAACCCCCAAAACCTTTGACTGGTTTGGGAGTCGACTCTCCCAAAAAAAAATTAAAAAAATAACAATCCCCGGTTGGTTTAGGGGTCGATCCTCCAAAACCAACCAGGGTTTGGGGATCAATGAAACAAAAGACCCCCACAGAAGCGGCCGCTCAGATTACACACCGATGGCCGAGAGGAATCCTCTTGGCCATCAAGAGTGTACACTCTTGGCCGTCAAGATTCTGCTCTCAGCGGCCAAGGTGATTTCCCTCGGCCGTCGAGAATGTACACCTCAGCTGTTGAGAGTGTACACTCTTGATGGCTGAGAGGATTCCTCTCAGCTGTTGAGGGTATACACTCTCAACAGCCAAGGGAAATCACCTCGGATGCTGAGAGCAGAATCTCGACGGCCGAGAGTGTACCTCTCAGCTGTCAAGAGTGTAGACTCTCAATGGCCAAGAGGATTCTACACTCTCAACGGCCAAGGGAAACCAACTTGGCCATCAAGGTGTACACCCTCTTGACGGCTGTGTACACTCCCGGCCATTGCGAGTGTATGCTCACAACGGCCAAGGTGGTTTCCCTTGGCCGTTGAGAGTGTATACCCTCAACGGCCGAGAGAGAGTGTACACTCTCGACGGCTGAGGTGTACATTCTTGACGGCCAAGGAAAATCACCTTGGCCGCGGTTTGACTCCCAAAAGTTGGGGATTTCGGGGCTTGGAAGTCGGCTCTCCACTTTTTGGGAGTCATTTAACCAAGCCCCTTTTTTTAACAGGAAAACATTTGTTCCACGGGCTCCAGCTTGGCTTGCCATCCAAAAGAATTGAGGAAACAAACATCAAGTGCACAGTGTCACACTTGAGTAGCACAACTTCCATGTGTTGCATTTACCAAAGTTGGATAAAATTGGGTCCATATACAATTTGTTTTATTTCCCAGAGGTAGTTGGGGTTTTTTGTGCCAGATTTTGGGGTCACATACCTTTTTTTACATTTCAGAATGCATGTGGGCCCTTTCTTCCTCTCGGCCATTGAGAGTATACCCTCTCAATGGCCAAGAGGTTTTCTCTCAGTTCAAGACTGTATACCCTCCATGGCCAAGAGGAACCCTCCCTGGAGTGGAGAGTGTACACTCTTGATGGTGGAGAGGAAAATTCTTCCTCCTCACTGTTCAGAGTATACACTGTCAACAGCCAAGAGGGTTTCTCTCAGCCTTCAAGTGCACACTCTCAACAACCAAGAGGAGCCCTTCTGGCCATCAAGAATGTACTCTCAGAATCCAGGGGAGGAATCCTATTGGCCATTGAGAGTACACACTTATGAAAAGCAACAGGAACCCTATCAGCCTTCAAAAGTAGACAGTCCTGCAGACCAAGAGGAACCCTCTTGGCCTTTGAGAGTATACACTCTTTACAACCAAGAGGAAGCAATTTTCCTCCCGGCTTCTTAAAGTACACTCTTGATGTACAGGAGGGCTGTTGAGAGTAGAAACACCCTCAACAAGCAAGAGCCTCCCTGTCAAGAGTGTACTCTCAGCAGGCAGGTGGAATCCTCCTGCCCATTGGGGGCTCCTTTCAGACTTCAGTCTACACTGGGGCGTTACTTTACGCTGTGTTATCTGCATTATCTGCATTATCTTAGTAATGTAGTAGTGCACTTGATTCTTTTCCTGATACATTAACATTTCCTGTAGTGGCAAATTTTTCTTGCATCCAGTAATATAATGGTGAAGTTTTTGTTTGTAATGAATGGATAAAGTAATGCATTATCAGATTATCCAGAGGTTAAGAAACCCCTAACACATTTTAAGCGGCAAAAATTCTCTCTTTTTTAGCTTTGGAAGCAACACATACCATGAATTCCCAAAAAGTATCACATGTCTTACCAATATTTATGGTTTTTATTTTCAAGAACAATCTACAAGTTGCTCATAGTGTAATGAGCATGAAAAAAATTCCAAGGCAAAATGGATAATATATGACAAAACTGAGGATTTTGACGAGAGGGGGAAGAGACCGGGAGATGACAAAGCCTCAAGAAAAAACTTCTGAGGAAAAAACAAAATGGTCTGAGAGCCCAAAAAAGGGCTGAAGGCTGCTAGCTTGCGTGGAGGAAAAGCTCACACACTACAAGGAGTTGTATCCTGTAGAGACTCTAGGGATCAGTGCGCAGAAGAACAGATGATCTTTTCATTTTCTAACTCAGAGGCATGACAATTTATCTACATACATCATTGGCGGAGTTGTGGGACAGAAGGTGAAAAATATGAATATTCATCTGGAAACTGGGAGAAGGAGAGTGCCAGATGAAAGAGTGTGACAGGTAAGTGATAGGAAGAGAAAGAGGAGAACACAATAGCTTCAGAATTCCAACAATATAATGTGCAAAAAATATCCAAACATTATGGGGAAAGTAATGATAATGAGTGGAAACTCACTACTTTATCTTTACACTACCATTACGGGTAATGTAACTACCCAGACATCCCCAGAGTTAGGGAGTCAACTCTCCAATTTTTGGGAGCTGATTAATCAATCCTCTGATAAAATTTGTACCCACTGAGTGGTGAAGAATACCACTCATTATGTTGGCTAGAACATTTCTGGGGGATTTTTATTATGTAGAGACTGTGTGTTAGGTGTATGGGATGCCATCTTGATGATGATGATATGGACCAACCAGGCCTCTGCTGGAAGAAACTAACCATAGCCATCTTTGCAGCAGATTCAAAGTGAAATAAGACTGTGAGAGGCCATAATGTCTTGAGATACTATATTTAGTCACTAGTATTTGCCCCCAATTTTTGGGAGTTTGACTTGGTGAACTTGTTTTTGTCCTGAATGCTGGCGGTTTTTTACTCCATGACCTTTTGTCCCTTTTAGGGTTGTTTCTTGAATTGGACACCTGTATTGGTCTAATGTTGGTGTTGACAAATTTGGATTGGAAGTTTACATTGGTGTTAGATTGCAGGCTCTGAGCCTATTCTTTTAGTTATATGCAGATGCTTGTACTAAGCCTATCAGGTATTAGCCTCTGAGTCTCTTTGATTCCTTCTTTCCTTTACTCAATATAACAACTAACTTAACTAAGTCCACCCTGGTGGGAGGTTTGCTGGTGTAAAGCACTGGCTAATGGAAAAGCCACCCCTCCCTCAGGCAGGGACTTATGAAATTTGCGGGGGTGCTTGCCTGAGGGAATCTTTGGAAATCAGGTTCAGTCTCCAGAGACTGTAGCTCAAAGGACAATTGAGCCACATGTATGGCTCCGCAGAGAGAAAGATGCACTTGCATCTTGGCTTGCCTTCTGTCAGCTCCAATTTTGAAGATATATCTTCAATCAAAAGAGCAAAAAAGAAAAAAAAGAAATAAAAACTTACCATGCTTGAGTCTGGGGGCCCAAGCGTAGCCTGAGATGGGTGTGGTCTTTTCAACCTTAGAGACATGTTGACATGTCCTAAAGGTTTCAAAAAACAATTAAAACAAATAAAAATTAATAATATTGAAATTAATGAAGATTTCACTTACATGTTAGAGGTTCCACAGATATGTGATCTCTTGAAATTAAGATTAATCAAAGAAAACCAAATCCTTTGAATATTGAAAGCAATCTTCAAAAGAATGACTTCAGCCTTGCAAGATGATCAAATCAAGGCAATACAAACCACACCAAACTTTGGAAGAACGACTGGTACAAAGTATTCAACACCTGAGACCGGAATAGTCCTTCCTCCCTCCTCAGAAAAAAACATTTCTTACTTCTCAAGCTTACTTTGGAGACATCAAAATTGAAAGGTAAATTACTTAGAATAACTCTTCCGGAAAATCATCATTTAAAGAAGTCTTATTTTATCTAATCCCTTTCTCATTTAAATTGTCTACAAGAATTAGTTTGAACTAAGAGATCTTGATTGACTCTTGCTTTATTCCTTTTATCCTTAGATCATCCCAACCGAGTTCTCCAAGATATTACCCCTCCTCATCTTTACATTGCTTTGGATCTCTTTAAGTAAGTAAGTTATCCCTCTAACTGGTTAAATTTACAGTATCTCATATTAGTGTGCTCCTCCCTTCTCTCTCCTTCACTCTACTTAATATCACTTCATATAAAACAATCTTAGTACTTAACATTAATAAAATGATAAATGAACTATCAAAAATTAAAACAAATAATTGGGTTTGATTCTAATAACCCTTTCATGTTATTTAACTGGATAAAAAACTATCACAATCATTACCTATCTGATTGATCCTCTACCTAATTTTAGGAACAGAGGCCCAATTGTTTTTTTACCAGCTATAATATATTCTCTAAGAATATACAAAATACAATTAAACAAACAAATAAAGAAAAAAATATCTTTTCCTTTTGTTTCATCTTACTCCTTTGTATCTAGTCTAGTTTTGTTAGTAATTCATTTTCTTACTAACACCTATCTTGTCCAGCTCTATCTCTAAGCAAGATCCCCTGCTTACCAGTCTTGACTTGTCTTTCCAGGATTTGAAAATTTACTAAAAAAACCATGTGGGTATCTAGCTGAGTTTGTGGGCTCTAAAAATCATGACAGCATTGCTCTTCCTAAGTTTTGGACGCTGGGATTGACAGCATCAAAACTACAGGCTGGAAAATTCATACAGTGAATTTCCAGCCTGTTTTGGTGAGTGGGCTCAGGCAAGCACCCCCACAAAGTTTGCATCCACCAGCCAAACTTAAGCTCCACCCAATAGAGATCATTTGTTTAGACCTAGGTAGCTGTTTATACCTAGGTAACTGTTCACTTTTTTCAAGAAAATAGATACCATGTACCTCACCAGAAACCTCCTGGGGGGTACCTGAGGTACCTGTTGCAGGTACCTCAGGTACCTCCCCTCTCTTTTTCACTTTTTCACTCCCAGAGTCCCAAGTCACTTGATTATTATTATTTATTTTCATATTTATTGTAAAATATCACTCATAAGTCACTTTTTTTGGCATTTTTCATATCTGTTGTAATATATCTAGATCTAATTGGAAGAATCTTACTTTTCTATTTTTTTTCGTATTAACAAGTTAAACTGTTAAGCAACAAACCTATCCCCCCTGCATAACCAGGTATTGCAATGTGCAATTTTGCAAGAGACATCAAGTCCTCACTTAACCTGAGTGCATGGGGAAAATTCGAATTCCCCATTGACACTGGCCTTTATATAATATGAATTGTCCTGCCTAATTCTTTTGTTCTCTGATTCAATTTGGCATCAAGTCCTTTTTACTTTTTCAGATGTTTTCCCCTAATTTGGACCTCTAATACCTAGATTTCATTCATCCTTACCCTCCATGTATATTTGCCTTTTGTCCTACCTACCTGATCCGTAATTTATCCAAATCACCTACATTTTGCGCAAGCCGCACTGCCCCTCAGCGTGTCTTTTTTACTTTTTCAAACTATTTTCCTTCATCCGTATATTTTTTTTCCACTGTTGTTCTGTTGTTGTTCTCTTCCTACTTGGACCACTATCTTAAAACCTCTTGCCTTTTGCGTAAATCTTACTGCCCCTCAGTTCATGAACTGCAACTGATATATTTTCCAAAACATAACTAAATTTGTAAGTCCAAGAGCTAATTGAATCAGAGAACTGGGCTAATGTTTCATTCTAGCATCAAATTCAACAAAAAAGAGTTGGCCCAGATTGAAGACAAAGTGGAAGGGGTTCGCCAAAGAGAGGACGTACAAATTAGTAGGGGAGAAGATAATGGGGAAGGGATGAGTACAAAGATGAATAGAGCTCAAGGAGAGGACGTACAAATTAGTAGGGGAGAAGATAAGGGGGAAGGGATGAGTACAAAGATGAATAGAGCTCGAGGAGAGGACGTACAAATTAGCAGGGGAGAAGATAAGGGGGAAGGGATGAGTACAAAGATGAATAGAGCTCAAGGGTCTGGTAGAATTGGAGGAAGAAGTGCCTTTGGTGATGACGACCTGAAATAAAGGGATGGGGAAGGGATCTGATGGGTCTTCGGTATCTAAGAGGAAACGTAATGGGGCAGGGGCAATTTAGAATTTACGCCTTACATAGGTCCTTATTTGCATCACATTTTGAGGTATGTCATAGAGGAAGTTCAAGTAGAAGAAACACCAGGAAATATATGAGGTCAGTAGGTGTCAGGTGACATGAAGTGACATATGTTACAACTCCATTGTTACTCTGGTGCTTGTCTGCTTAAATAGAGATTTTCCCTTTGTGGTCATCAGGGAGTCCCAACTCTTTGACTTTGAAGTAACACTGGAATAAAGGCAGGAGTTAGCTTCATGTCACCTGACATGGACTGCCCTCAAATTTTTCATGGTGAAACATATTATTAGAATTGATGTTTGACAGTGAATATATTATTTCAAGTCAAAGTGGCTATAGTCCATGTATTGATTCAGTTGCATTTGAGTTGAAATTTTTCCCGGTGGCAAAGCGACCATTAGACTCTAGTTTATTGTAAAACATCAGTCCCAAGTCAATTTTTTCATTTTTTCATATTTAATAATTTATTGTAAAGTTTAAACTATCTACAACTTATAACTAATTGGAAGAATCTTTGTCGTCATCCAAAACTATCACCTTCCTTTTTTGGTTTTTGGTTAGACTTCTTGTTATCCTGGAGTACCTGTTTCCATGCAGCCAAGGTATCTTCTTGGATCTTGGAGCTCTTGGAGTAGAAGGCCACCATCATTTTGGTAGGGAAGTGAGGGGGTACCTGTTCAATTTTTCACAAAAATAGGTACCAAGTACTGCACCTGCCCCCCCCCCCCCTCGCGGGTGCGGGGCGGGTACAAGGGGTACCCCCCAAGAGGTACCAGGTACCTGCAAAAAGTACCAACAAACTGTTGGAGTAGTGTTTTGCTTTCTCCTTTTTTTTTTCTTTCTCTGCTTCATACCTGTTTCAGACCTGTCACCCACCTGTCACAGGATTCAGACTATACCTGGGCCAGAGTACGTGGAAGGATTCCTCTCCTCATCCTTCCACAAAACCTCTCTCTGACCCAGGTATGCACTTCTCTTTTTTTTTCTCTTTTCTTTTCTTTATTTTCTGTCTTTCTCTATGTTTTGTTTCTCTCTGCTGATGCAATACATATTATCCTTCCACAAAACCTTTCTCTGACCCAGTTGAGTCCAACACAAACAATCTCTACCACCCAAAACCGACCTCCTGCCAAGGGAGAGACTTTGTTCAGTTAGATATAACCACGTTTTCTCATCTCTCTGAGTTTCACCTGGCCCACTATTAAAAAATCTCACCAAACTTGGAGTAGTTGACATGCGGGTTTACTTTGAATGTAACTTGTGTCATACTACAATCTATCTTCATTGAAACAAGTTCTGCACAGTTATTGTGCAATGTGCACAGCAACGGTGCATTGGAGTATGGCTGGAGTGATGGTTGATTGACATCTGAGTCACAACCCAAATGTCAACTGGCCACAGTTTCTTGAGATATTCTCAGAGTGTGGGTTCCCCTCAAGATAATATTGCTTCAAGTTCAACCCTTGTGGCTCAATAGTTGAGCCACCTTCACTACAGCAAGAACACAATTGCTTGCACTTACCATCCTGTGTTATCAACATATTAACTGCAAGCACTTGAGCAGGTTTGCCTTCCAATGTTTGATACACATTTGTACCTGATACACAAACTGTACAAAGTTCCTCAAGACATTGATGTTACTTCATGCAACGCTGAAACAAATACAATTTTATTGTTGTATTGCCAATACACAGTTTTACAATATTGTGTATTGTATCTGAAAAACAGATACATCAAAATACATGGATTCCAGTACAATACAGGGTGTGTTCTTGCCAACACATGATGTATTTCTATGTATTGAGCAGTAAAATGCACAGTTTTCCAATACAGTGGTATTTCAAAACAGACACATCAGAAATACATTTATTTCAATACAATACATGAAATACAAATACATCTATTGTATTTGTTTCAGCGTTGCTTCATGGACTCGCAAAGCAAGCCACCATCAGGATCCAGGAGATGCTCATACCCCACTACCCCAAACACATGTGTCTAGAATACAGATTTCGAGTCCTTATTGCTCTCTCTGCAAATATTCTCTCTTATGTTCTTGTCAGCAAGACATGTTGAGGACAATGGATTATGTTTTTTCAGGCATCACTGGAAATGTCAAGCCTTCTCCACAATGACAAAAAACCACTTGTGTGATTTGTTGGGGTCCATCAATGTCTACAACAGTCAGTGTCGTGTTGTGAGTGACCTGCCCAGCCCCATCAACAGTTTTCCTTCCTATTCTCAATGATTGCAGCAAAATAATAAAGATGCACAAAATGAGAGAAACCCCTTAACAAAAGCTGTTGGTGTACTTGATTGAGACTTTGATTTTACTGCCCCCGTGAGTGATGTGGTGAACATAAAGACACAAAGTGAAGTACATAGGGCAAACTTCTTCATAGGTATTCTTCATATTCATGAGTGAAATCTGAGCTTTTCTTTTGATCATACTTGCGCTTAAATTCAACCAACCAACCAACAAAAAAAATATCCTCTTTTTTTACAAAGCGATACAATCAAACTTACGATAGATAAAGATAATACGGAAAAAGAAGAAGAAAAAAAAAGTATGTAGATGTGTTGTTTTCTATATTGCTTATGCAGTCACTGAAGCAGGGAAACTAAAGTCGGTCTGGTCTTGCTTGGCTTCTCCATTGCTGGTGTATGATATTCTCAATCTCAATCGAATTGTTGCCTTGGGTTTCGATTTAAAAAAAGAATAATAATTAGAACCTGTTACTATGCAAAATGAACTCGCATCAGATTCAGGAAGAACTTACACCTGGGGTGAACATGATTTTGAGTTGCTGTGTCTCTGTGATCCCAGGACTGATGTCTGAATTGGATATCGCCAACATTTTCAATTTTTGCGTCTATGAAGAAAAACAAAGTGAATTCTGTTGAGCCAGGATTTTAGTTGTTATAATTCAGAAGAGAAGCAAAGCTCACCTTGGGTACAGCAGCTTGAAAGACGACGTTTTGTATTGGGCCTAGCCCATTAGCGACGAATTGGGCTGTGACATCGAGGATGTTATTGGTGTTGGGCGCCTTTTGTGGCACGAGAGAGATCTGCAATCCGTTCTGGTCGTATGCGATGTAACTCCTTGGAAGCACGGGGAGTTGTTCGGCGGTCCCGCTTCCCAAAAGCTCACCGCCAAACATTGAAGATGAAGGAGGAGCCTGAGCTGTCGGTGTAGACTCGCCACCAAACAATCCGAGGATGTCGTTGACTGAAGACTTTGGTGGCTGACTAGCTACTGGTGAAGTGACGTCACCTGCTCCACCAAAGATGTCGGCTAATAAATCTTGCGTAGTTTGAGTGGTTACCCCTCCAGCCGCCTCGCCCCTGGTTGGAGAAGTGGTAATCTCGTCTCCCATCAAATCAACTAGTGACTTGAGTTTGTGAAATCAAACCAATCTTGCTAAAAGTTAGATCCCTTCTTTCATAAGTAAGCCTCAAGTGGAAAGTTGATTGACTTACATCCTTGTCAACTCGGGTAGATCCGACTGCTCGCTTTTCACTAACAGTACCCATGACCGAGGCCTTCAGTTCGGGGGGCGGCATCCTCTCCAACACACCGGTCTTGATTTCATGCATTGTCAAAAGCTGGCTGAACTCAACAGCCCGTTGCTGGATTTCTAATTCGGCGGAGGATGTAAACCTGGCAAGAATTTGGGTGATGGTTGATTGCGCATAAGACGATGGAGAGAGTCGTGAAGATAGCTTTGCCAATGCAGTTAATGAGAACTGTCTAATTGTTTGATTGGGATAGGGCGAAAGTAGAACAAGATCAATCAATTCAATGATGTCTGTATCGTGAACCTATAGAGGAAGCAAGCGGAGTTATAAATTCAATGAGTGTGAATTCACTTTCAGACGAGATGAGTCCCTGAGAGCTACATCGACTGAGGTTACTGACTTCTGGAATGGCCTCTTCTGATTCCATTGCGACACCGCCCCCGTGGCTTTTGAGCATCATTTCACCAAACTCTCCGATCACCCATAGGCCGGCCAATGTTAAAGATTCTTGAGATACGTCTTGACGCAGTGCCAAGTAAAGCTTTTGAGTCGTGTATGCTTGGAGCTCGGGGGTGTGACAAACTAGACGAACAAACGCTGACAAAACTTCCTCTCTGACGTAATTACCAGCCTGGCAGATACAATGCCGAGTAAGTAGAGGGAGAGTAATGCACATCAGAAATGAAGTCAGATGTGTTAAAATAATCAGATTCCTTACCAGTTTTAGAACTCTCAGCATTGTATCAATATGCCACCGTTTGTTGGGTGCAAATCGCTCGGCAGCAAGGCAGATTTGAGTAGTCATTCCGAGTTTGAACTCATTATCCGCAACTTCAAGGAAGGCTAAGAGTTCCCGGATCATGACTCTGACATTTTGTTCATTGACAAGCGCATATGAGAGTTCTAGAGCTCGTCGTCGGATGGATATGTCACCGTCACGCAGACAGTCAAGAATGATGGTTCGATGGCGTTGGACGGCGTTTGTGTCTATGCCGACGACCTTGTTGAGTGTGTTCAAAGCTACGTAACTGTAATCCAAATTGAGTCACAATTGTAGCATGAATAACAGGGGGGAGGGGGTCACATACCGAATATTGTTATCTCTATTGCCCAAAAACTTCCCCAGTATGTTGATAGCCATCACTCGTAGACCAGATTCAGCTTCGATTTCCAAGATGGTGAGTACAGCTTCATACAAGATTGAGTTGCCAACATTCTTAGCTGCTTCAGTATTTGTAGCAACCTAGTGAAAGTCATTTCATCATTTTTCAGGTCCCGCAATCCAAAAAACAAGAATCATGTGGAAAAATCTGATTTACCTGGGCCAGAATGTCATTCATCGTTTCACTGGCATGAGAGTCTCCTTTGCCCAGTACCCTCAAAAGTCGTAGGATTTTGACCTGCAGGAATGGATCGGTGATACCTGATACATCGTGTTCAGGTGAATAGCCAGTTGTAACGAGTGCCTTCAGATGCCGAACCAACAAGGGGACTGCCTGAAGATATCAAGAGCCGCGCGTAAGTATATATCATGCATAATTGCAAGGTCAAGCGGCTGACCTTTCGAAAAGTCTGAAGGGCCTCTGGATCTAGTGCGCACATTTCGGTGACTAACGTAACACCGCAGAGTAGGACGCCATGGTTCCGATCCGACAATAACGAGGTCGCTTTGGTGATGAAATGATCGAGTAATTCGGGCACTTTTTTGATGATTCTGGTGGCACAAAGAGCGGCCTGGTACAGAAATCGCATTAGATGAAATCAGTGGAACGTTCAAATCGAGACATACCTTCTTACGAATGTAGGTATTGCTACTTCCGATCAGTTTCTCCACCTCATTCACTAAGTCCCGTGACATTTCCTGGGGAAAAGTTCCGTAAAAATCAAAATGTTAAAAAAAAAATCGAATTGTGACATGCTTGAGTTGGTGTTCAGCCAGAAAAAGATAGATGAATAGATGAAAAATCGTACTTCGGAGCTGATGTTGGCAAACGTACAGAGCGCAAGACCGACAATGTACATGTTGGAATGGTTCATGTCACTTGTTGAAAAAGAAGCATACAAGGACGGAAATCAGTCATAGACAATACGAGTGACGATGGTATGAGAGATGAGAGCTCACTTTTTCAAACTATTGGTCACCAGTGTCAACACTTCCTGGCTTTCGTCCAAGAGCAGCATAATACCAAGGTAGCCCAGCCGTTTATCCGCAAACCTGGAAAATCATATTTATATTCAATGTTAGCGATGCAGACCGAAAGCATCCAGCCTCTCTGCTGATTTTATAGAGTCAAACCTTGGTTGGGCAACCAGTTTCAAACACTCTATCTGACCAAAATGAGCCGGATGACCGAGCATGTGAATATAGAGTAATTTCGCTACCTGGATTCAAAAGTCATGCATAAGTTAATACCAGCCATTCAGATGATCCTAGAACACTTCCATCCTTTCCGTCATGACGACAAAGCTGATGTGTGTGTTTTCTTCTAACACTCGAATGTGAATGATGGCTTACATTATTGTACCTGTAGGCAGTTTCCTCCTCCTTGAAACTAGTCCGAATCGCAGCGCTCTCCTTTTGAATAACAGATCGTTCATCGGCCAGAGTCTTGGTAGCCCTGATGGCCTTGATCAGTGCTTTCAGGTTCTAATCAAACAAACATGTGGCGTAAGCGCTTACTTTGTTGCAAAAGACGATCTGGAAGTCGATCAAGACGAACGGGAAGACTTACGTAATACATCTGTTCCAGATAAAATCAGTCAATGTACCGGCACACAGTTCGTAGATGGCCTCGATAGGCGGAGGGTGGGGCTCGAGATGACTGGCAAGGTGCTGGGTGGTGGAGAGGAGAGCAGAGTGTGCAAGTGTGCGACTGGGAGTGTTCACTCGCAAGGTAACCCAGTTGCAGACTGCCCCGCGGGCCGACGTACGTCATCGGTACCCACCCCGTCGACCCCGGCCCGGTCTTGGTCGCCGCTGCACATCGATCAACAAATTTTTCTTTCACCACATATTGTGTTTTGAAGAATGCTTGGACAGATTCACAGGATCTTCACTCGAAAATCCTGGATTCTCACCATTTAAGTTTGGATTTTTATTTTAATCTTTTCCCTCTCAAAGCCATGATGTCGTCATTGGCAATCACCTTTGTCACAACAGCCTCCATTGGATTCACAATCGGCAAGCTGCCTCCGATTCACCCACCATCAAATGGTCCAAAAATTGTCTCGATGATGCAGTTTGGATACAAGTTACAACCCTCTCGGAAGAAGTAAGCCATCATCATCAAGTTCCTACATCGCTAGCAAGTTCAGGTGATCCATGAAATTATCTCACTGAATCCCGGTGAGTATTTTACAACGTTGCTCTCGTTCTTGGCGTTATTCCTACTTTGCTTCTCATCAAATTCCATTACATCTAAATGTGTTTCCTATCATCCTTGCAACCCCAATTGTGTGTGACATTGTTGATCTTCAAGATTAATAGAAATCAAATCTAACACTCAATGCCAGCGTGGTGAGATGAGTACAAGCAACCTCAGAGTTGACTTGAATGAAATGCAAGCCATGTCAAGAGAGACCAATCTCGATAGGACTGGAGTCAGAAGGAGTTGTTACAAGAACCCTATCGAGATCGATTCACATCGGCTGACTTTAGCTGAGAGGTTGCGACTTGGTGTTCACTAAGCTTCTTGAATAAAAGGTGCAAGTAAACGGTCCTGATCTCTTTCAAATCTCGGTCATCTTGAGCTTGAGTAATGACAACCATTTTATTTTCAGCGGTTAACTTGGAGTTGTTTCAAAATCATTTCCATTTCAAAATTTCATAGGGAAGATTACATAGTCTCCTTTCCTAGTTACAATTATTTGTTTTGATTCATTCAAGGATAAGTGGGTTAGAACACCCAAACCAGAAAAGAAAATGCAGTCGACCGGAAATTTTGAGTACATGATCAATAACGATTGATTACCTTTGTTTATGTGGCATGTGTGTGATGACTACTGATAGGATAAGTCATCCAAATCAATCAATCCAGGCAAGTGAGTAAGCGACCAAAAAGCAATATGTGGTGTGAGTGTCAGGGTAAACAAACCGGTGGTAAAGACAAAAACGAACAGAAGATAAAGAAGTCATCCAATAATATCCTTGAGGTTGACGGTACACAATACCCACCGTGTCTGTAAGCATAATAGCGAAGATCGATTGTCGTTACACCTGTGATTGTTTTTCTGATTGCCAAATCTGGCTGGAGTTCATCGGATCATGAGATGTTAGCTCTCTTTGTATGATAAAACAACTGCTGAGAAATAAAAATGCCAACCTTTTGATGACCCGAAACCGGAGTCCTTCAAGCGCCACAAGGATCGTGCGAACCTCGATGTATGCCTCGTAAGATTAAAAAGCTGTCTATTGAGGTTTTTGTTGGGATTGATGCATGGATAATTGGGGGGGGGGGGATCGGTATCTGTGGTGGTGGTGGTGGTCGGCTAGGATGCAGATGCCTGCTTGATCACAGCAAGGAGAATCAAAGCAGAGCTGTGTGGCAAAAACCAGCAGCTTAAACTGCTGCACAGCAGCACAACGACATAACTTTAGCGCTTGGAAAACATCGGTTTGTCCAAGCTTTATTCAAAACACAATATTTAGTTGTGTCACTATAATATCCTGATCAACCAAGAGAGATCTTCAAGAATGAGGATTATCCAGTGACTTCTTTATGAAGTATTTTGAGCACGTATCTTGCTCAGAAAATTCATCACTTCTTTGCAACCTAAATTCTCCAAATTCAATTTTCTGTGGATGAACTTCAGGAGCTGCACATGTAATGCTGAAACCATTTACCATCACATCATATAAATCAATTATTCATGTTTTTTAAAAAATGTGTTTAAAAATTGAAGCTCAGTGGGATGATCTGTCTGACCACTGCCCAGACAGTGCAACCCAAGCAGTTGGTGCTAGTGAGATCACAGGGCAAACATTAACAATTTAGCAGAGGTGAAGCAGAAATCTCAGGATGAAGAAATATCAACCAAACCATTTTCAAATGGATTTGGCTGGAATGGATACTCAACATTGAACTTTGACAGTACCAAAATGTTTAATTTTTGGGGAAAAAAGGATGAAAATCATCATTTGAATTGCTCTAATGGTGAAATTCCAATTTTTTTTCTTCTTTTTGGGTTTGAATGGAGCTTTTGAACATAATCTTAACTTTAGGGGTGATTTGGAGATCTTGCTCATTTGATGGATGGTTCAATTTGGATAGTCATGTCCTGGCTGCAGAGTTAAAACTTTTTTCCCTTCAATGTCAATTTTTTTTTTCAAAAACTTGAGTACACTTTGGATGTCTGCTGGTCACTTCACACACAGCGCATATAAGAGGTTCAGATTTGTGGCCACTTTTTAAATCAAATTGGCTGCAGACTTCATAGTAAAAATCTCCAAAATTAGTACCCCATTCTACAAGGGAATATGCTTGAGAAAAACTTTGTTCCACTTGTACTTCACCCGTCCAAGCTTTTTTTTTTGCAGCTGCAGCAGATGGCTCTGAGGTTTGGACCTGTACAATAGGCTGAGGAGAAATCTGATTTTTTTGGGGGGGATCCGCTGAATGCAAACTAAATCTTCTCATTTACATTTACATTGGCATTGGTTTTTTTTTTTTGGGGGGGGGGAGACGTAAATAGTTTACTTGGATTGCTTTGAAGGTGGTGTGAAAAGTACAATAGTCCGATGTCAACAAAACTTCAACAGAAAAAGATTGTGCTGTGCATCAAAAAAAATGTAAGAAAGTGCTAGAAAAGATCAGAAGTTTGGAGACAAGTGCCCGATAAGCGGATCAATCAAAGGGTGACAGTGGTACGCTTTGCGATAGGACTAGGCGCAACGCATTGCTTTTCGACTAATTTGAGAGGACGCGTAGCGTTGTGGTTTGACTAAATTTCCGACGACAGAGATCAAAGTGGTTAGTTGGGCTACACTTGTATATTCATGGGATAGGTGGATGCTATTTACCTTGTCGAAGGTTGCTGTGTTCTCGAAACAGCACAAGGACACCCTTCCACTGTCTTCACAGAGATTGTTCTTGGCGTAACCCCCCTTAGAGTCTAATTTCATTTTAGCTTGGACCACTTTTTATTGGTTTTCGCAACAACAAAATTAATTAGGTCAGGTGGTCCCAGAAGATTACGGCTTATGGCGTAGAAAGCTGATACTAGGGGGAACTCACAAGAGAATTGCGAGGGAACAGGGTTTTTGGGGTCCGGGATCATGATACCACAGAGTGCTAGCGGCACTGGCTTGCCGTCCTTGGTGAGTTTGTCGCAAGTGAAGATGTATGGGGCATCTTTACCAGCGACTAACTGGAGGGCAACGCTTGAGAAGACAATGATTAAGTTGGAGAATTGCATGATGGATTGGGGATATGAGCGGATGGTGGAGGTTATTGAGATGGTAGAAACGATGTTTTGATTGTCTGGAGTGTCGGTTGTTTGATGCTTGGCTGAGAATGTGTGAAGAATTGTGGGTGTCGGATTGTCATTGCCTTACAAAAACACCCCCTTTTAAATGATTCAACGCTAGTATGCGTTCAGCATACATCAGCCGGAGTGACATAACAAGGGTAAGCTATCATTTTCAGAGGAAAAGGGGTGGCTGAGACTGCAGTACAAGGCTTCAGCTTTCCTGGTTTGCTAGTGCAAGGGTTAGTAGTTGCGGTGCCGTCCTTCAAGGGTTCGAGGGCCTCGTATTCAATTATACAAACCCTTGGTGGGGGTGCACGCGTCTGAACTGTGTATGGAAGTGTGGTCCAGTAGGGACTGGGGCCCGGTACCCGGTAATCATCTTGCGATTGGAATGACCCATCTGTAACGTTTTCGATGTCCTTGGTTAATTTTAGATAACTTGTGGTAAGTTTCCTAAGATGATGTGGTCAGACTAATATGTAGTTTATGGTGCTACAGAAATAAGCGCCTGGTTCTTTGTGGACTTCCATTGGATTTTACAGCCCCCTGTAATGCCAGAATTAGGGCCAATAGCTACCTCCGAGATAGCGGATGGTCCAGCAGTCAAGAAGAGGCTTCATCTGACTCTCACTCTCAATGCTTTCGGGCGATCTGCTATGAATTCTCTTCCTCCTTGTGTACCACCAAGACTAGGTCCTTCTGGATTTCAAGTGGATCAAATCTTGGGCAAACAATGCCAGGTAGTGGGATGTTGTTTCACAGACAAATCTGCAAGGAAGATAATTATGATGAGTGTAAGCAGTTCAAAATGTGTGATCAATCAAGAGAGAAATTCAGGAAGCCGAAGGAGGAAGATATGAATTATTTTTTTCCACATTTTTGGCTATCTTCCTCACAAGAGTTGTCACTTCTTGACATCCTGAATTCTGAATCCAACAGCTTGTGAATGTATTTCAAGAGCTTCACAGGTATTATTCAGCTCATTGACCATCAATTGAAAGAGATAAATGTCTGGTTCAAGTTTAAGAAAAATGAGAATGGATTTAAAGCTCACTGGAATGATATGTCTGACCGCTGGCCAGACAGTGCTATCCAAGCAGTTAGAAGTACTGTCATCCAGTGACATCATATCTGAAAAAGATGAATTTGATGAAGTTTTCATTTCATATGGCCATGAATTATTGGCTTCATAACCTAGTTTTCCTGAAGGTCAAATCACTTCATGATTCTAGTACACTTTGGATGACTACGAGACCCTTCACAGTGTACATATGTTCAGAGTTACCTTAACCTCGTCATTCACACAGGCTGTGGAAAACATTGTAAAATTCTTATTTCAAAAGTGCTCTATTCTGTGAGGAAATGTGCTTAAGAAGATCTTGAGAAACTGATGTGGCTGAAAACAAATGTGCGAGTTTGTTGGATCCGCAGATTGCAGACCAACACCTTTTGTTGAACATCCACATAGGTTTGACGGAGTAAACAGTTTGCTTGGTTTTCTTTGAAGTTGGTGGGAAAAGTACAAGAATTTTATATCAACATGATTTTCACAAAATAAAAAAAAATTCTACTGTTCATGGTTGAAAAAATGCAAAAAAGTGCTGGAAAGGATCATAAGTTTGATAAGTGTCCGATGAGTGAATCGATCAAAGGGTAACAGTGTTACGCTTTGCGATAGGACTGGGCGCAACGCATTGCTTTTCGACTAATTTGAGAGGACGCGTAGTATTGGTGTGTGACTAAATTTCCAACGACAGAGATCAAAGTGGTTAGTTGGGCTACACTCGTATATTCATGGGATAGGTGAATGCTATTTACCTTGTCGAAGGTTGCTGTGTTCTCGAAACAACACAAGGAGACCCTTCCGCTGTCTTCACAGAGATTGTTCTTGGCGTAACCCCCCTTGGAGTCTAATTTCATTTTAGCTTGGACCACTTTGTATTGATTTTCGCAACAAAATTAATTAGGTCAGGTGGTCCCAGAAGATTACGGTTTATGGCGTAGAAAGCTGACAGTAGGAGGAACTCACAAGAGAATTGCGAGGGGACAGGGTTTTTCGGGTCCGGGATCATGATACCACAGATGGCTTGTGGCACTGGCTTGCCGTCCTTGGTGAGTTTGTCGCAACTGAAAATGTATGGGGCATCTTTGCCAGCGACTAACTGGAGGGCAACGCTTAAGAAGACAATCATCAAGTTGGAGAATTGCATGATGGATTTGGGATATGAGCGGAAGCTGAGGGTTATTGAGGTGGTAGAAACGATGTTTTGATTGTCTGAAATGTCGGATGTGTGATGGTTGACTGAGAGTGTGAGAATAACTGTGTGTGACTGAATGATTATTGTGGACGAAAGCTCCGCTTTTTAAACGATTTAAGGCTGGTATGCGCTCAGCACACATCAGCCGGAGTGCCATAGCAAGGGTCAGCTATGATTGCGAAAGGATAAGGGGCGGCTGAGATTCCGTTGATATTGCAGTGCAAGGCTCCGAATGGTAAGGGTTTGCGGTGCCGTCCCTACAGGGTTTGAGTCCTACTACTAGGGCGAACTTAACACAAGTCCCCTCCTCCGAGGAGGCGCGAAGCGCCTCCGAAGGAGGGACTTGCATATAATCTGTCAAATCTGGGCTGAGCACCCCCAGCCAAATGGCTGAGAGCACCTTTCAGGGCCTACTATCCCCCATAACCACTTTGATTCACGCTACGCCTCCTGCACCACTGAAATCCTGAGGGTTTTTTACACCTGGTCCCGCTGCCAATGTACTGGGTTTCTTTCACATCTGGCAAATATTGCCAAGCTAAGAGGGAGATTCTGTAAACAATCCGTCCCCGTTGGTGCCGGATCCCTCCTTGTAAATATCCGGCACCTGTGGCCATAAACACATAGATGTCGAAATGAATTTAAATTTATATGTACTATAATTAGGGGGGTTCACGATAGCTATTTTGGCTTATGGTCTCCCCTAAAAAAAATTCTTGCTGGCGTGATTTTTTTGTTAAATTTTACGCTAAAAAAACCACCACTAACAACGGCCAGGTTCCATAAAGGTTGCTGGTCATCAATCGTCTGCAGATAAAACTCAACCCCCCATACATCCTCTGTTGGAAACACCACCCAGCCCCCTCCGGTCTCGATTACACATCACCTTTCGGCAATGTATCAAACACCCGATTGTGATATACATACAGCCTCCGATCGGCCCTTCCGGATTTCAACAGTGTTGTCCATCAGTCAGGTAAGTTGTTTGGTTGATTCGGTGTAATCTATGTTCTGTTCATTCGTTAATCAATAACAGGGTTGTTTGTGGTGGGGGGAAGGATGTGAAGCAATGTGGTTCTTTCCTGCTCTTCTTGATACTCATAAGGGCAAGCACAAACAGTTGTATATGCTTGTATGCGTGGAAATTTGATCGTAAATGTGTTTGATTGTCGATGAAAGAAGAGGAGGAGTATACATAACAATACATTCAAGAAAAAAAAACAGGAATACCAAGTATGAATAAATAAACACCAAAACAAAAGGGATAGCGAGATGGACAAGTAATAAGTTCTCAGCAAGCAAGTTCAGGCTAGACCGCTTCTTCCATCGCCTCCTTGTCTTCCTCGTCGTCTTCTTCATCGTCGTTGTTGTTTTGTTGTGGTTGGTGATCATCACCATCATCGTCTTCTTCTTCTTTGATGTTGGCTCTGATGAACTGCTTGATAGAGGTGCTGATTTTGTGCTTGATTTCGCTCGGGATCGTGTCTGTTTATACATACACCTCGCCAATCAGTTTTTTTGGATGGATGGATGGATCGGGGTGAGAGGAACAACGGACCCGGGGAGGGGGGGGGAACGTACTTTGGGCAATCGGCCGAGGGTTGCCGGTGTGGGTTGAACACCTATTGTTGGAGGAATGCCGGGAATAATCCTGTAAGTTGATTCGGTGGGTCCCTCTGGGTCCAAGGGTTGCCGGTGTGGGTTGAACACCTTTTGTTGGATTTTAATCAACTGATGGGATGTGATCACCAGTGCGTTCACATTGCTAAATTTTCCTGGTGCATCAATGCTGGTGTGGTAAACACTCTCTAAAATTTTAAGTTGTTTGGCTTATGGTCCCCCCTAATAAATATTCTTGCTGGCGTGATTTTTTGGTTAAATTTTACGCTAAAAACGCCGCCACTAACAACGGCCAGGTTTCATAAAGTCTTCTGGTCATCAACAAATTTTCCAGATAAAACTCAACCCCCCATACATGCTCTGTTGGAAACACCACCAAGCCCCCTCCCGTCTCAATTCCACATCACCTTTCGGGTACTTCTCAAACATCCGCTGGTCCGTGCGATTGGCCCTTCCGTAATTAAACAGTTATGTCGATCAGTCAGGTAAGTCGTTTGCCCTGTGTTCTATCAGTTGAATATCTCATTTTGTCTTGCTCAACCTCAACTTTGGCCCCTCCTCATTTTGGCAGCTTGACCCAAGTTTGGTTTCTATGCCGCAGGCGAGTGTCCCCTCCGACCGACCCACGGCTGGGAGTTTGACGAGCGGCCCCGGTGTTTCAGGCCTCAACCTCAATTCAGAAATCTCGGGCATCTCATTACCGGAAGCCGGTAATCCCCCGCCTTCGCTTGATCCGACCGGAACCGTTGAAAGACCAAGTGAGAAGAAGAAAAGAAGCCGCCGGACCCAGAAGGAGATGGCCGTGTATCGTGCGGAACAGGTCCAAATAAAGAAACTGAAGGATCAGCAGAAGCGGTCTAAGAGTCGGGGTCGTGTTGGCCATCCTCGTCGATCAACGCAATCATCCATCGGTGCCAATACAATGGAACCCTCGGCTCCGGCGTCATCCCAACCGTTGGTCCCTGACGTCAACCCTCCGTTCAACGCCGATGACTACGAGAATGTGTGTGGCTATCTTGAGGAGGAAGCCAACTACACTCGGCTCTATGGTGATGGCTCAAAGACAACAGTGGGCGTGACCAAGGTGACCAAGGCAGCGGCCTACGACATTTTCGCAATCTTCATCAACGACAATTCGAACCATCGCCTTCGCCTCACTGGAAGCCAACTGCGCCAGCGGGTTGATGGATACAAGAAACGTTTTATGAAAGCGAAAGAGTTTGCCGAGAACACGGGGGCCGGTCTGGAGGAAGGTGATGGACTGCCCACCCTCGCCGAGGTTCTTGAGAAGAAGTGCCCTTGTTACGAGCGGATGTATGCAATATTTGGGGGTAAGGCTAATGTCACCGCACTGGCTCAGTTTGACTCAGGAATAGGGGCGGACCTCTATGATGTTACGACAAACGCTCGGGACCCTGAAGATCGGGAATCGTCGCCGGAAGTGTTCTTGTCTGGGTGGGAAGAGTCCCAACGTGATCGACTCCCTTCCGAGCTAAACACTCCGTCGTCGCAAGTCAATCTAAGTGGTCGGGCAAGTGCCCTCGGTCCAGACTCCGACCTGGCCTTACCAAATATTAATGCAAACGGTGGGCTTGACGAGGACGAACTGCCCCCTCCCCTCAACTTGAGTGGTACTGCGATGGACCCCTCTCCCAGCCTCATGACTCAGAGGTCAATGGCCCGCGCAACTCAAGTTCGGACGGAATCCCGCCGGGGAGGGTTGGACTCACCTACTACCTCTCAGCCGAATACTCCTGCGATATCCGGTACTTTGCCGCTGGCCGAGATGAGCTCGTCTCGCCAGGCTTTTCCAAATCAACGGTCAACGGAGGCCAGCCCAGCAGGCCCGCCTAGAGAGCTCAATCCAAAGACGAAATCAACCATGGCCTCGGCTTTTGAAAGCTCAAACACCGAGAAATTTTCTTACCTTCAACAGCACATGGCCTGGGAGAAGGAGAAGGAAAATAACCGCCTCGCGTGGGAGAAGGAGCGGTACAACAAGGAGGCGGCTAAAGTGAAGAATGGGGAGGAGGCCCGCATGAAATTGGCTGAGAAGAAGATGGCTTCGGCGCGGGACTTGCTTAATCAGGGGTCGACGGCGGCGGAGGTGGATGCCCTTTTGAAAACCATCTATGGGTGATTCATTGAAGCGATCAGGTGAGTCACCTCAGACAAACCCAAATGAATCATAGCTCATACTGATCAGTTGTTAATTGTGCACTTAGCCCGTCTCTCTCCCCTGGACCATTAATCAACTCTAATGGACTCGATCCTCGTCCTTCCTCCAACCAGTCGCTACTGAGGGTTATATTTGTCATCTCTTCTTCATCTTTATCTCTCTCTTCATCATCTTTATCTCTATGTTCTTCATCTCATCACGATCGATTGTCCCCCGCACGTGCAGCCGGAAGTACAAATATCCTCACTCCATTGCGATCGATCAGTTATTTGTGTCGTCCACTGAATCTGGTCATTCTCCTCGTCATATATTTGATCTCCTTTATATCTTCCTCAGTTTGATTTGGATTTGCTGTTGTACTCGCGTGCTAGTCAGCGCTAGTTAAACAAGCCATGGTGCAATCCAATCTATTCCCCCCCCTCACATGGGTGTTTCAGAAAGCAAACAGGAGCCATTTTGAGACTCGTTTCAGGGAGTTGTGGAGCCCAATTTCCCATTGCGTGGGAATCGGGTGGCTCGCTAAGGCCCAGGATCATCATTATCACCATGAACCAGCTCCCAATAACCGTCACCCCCACAATAACTTTGGAAGAACGCCGGAGAAGACGCATTGGATGGGATCGCGATGGGATCGCTGGCGGACCGAGCAGCATCCAGTTGCTCCTCCTCTGGATAACCGCTGGGGCCAACTACACACAGTGGACCGGAAGTCCGTTCCGTGGACAAGAGCGTGAGGACGCCTGCACTGAGATCCAACATTTCATGCTGACTCAAGGTAGCATCCACCGGGACCCAAGGGGTAAAACTTTCAGGCCGGTTATCCATAATGATGGCACATCAGACTGATTGCTATTGATGATCGGCATAGATATCAACCGGAAGATCCAGCAACTGCGACTGTCGTACAAGTCTGCCCGTGATTTTGTCGTGTATACGACCGGAGGAGATCAGCCAGATGACCCAATCATTCAGGGTCAGCCCTTCCTCACCTATCTTGCTTGGGCAGACCTGATCTCTCTTGACTGACCTTGCAAAACCAAATCACAGCTTACATCCGGAGGCTTTGCCCATACTGGGACTTACTCCACCCTGTTATGGCCCCGGTCGAGTATCCTCCCGTTGGAGATGTAGAAGTTGAATCCGCAGCTGATGAGCTCGAAGCCTCGGACGAAGAACCAACTAATAGCTCATGAACTATTGTGATAGATAGCATGTATGTTTGTGTTGTTCCTGATTTGTATTAGAACTAAGTAGTACTAGATACAAGTCAAATAGGCAATACACCCAGGGAGTGGTTCACCTCCAGACATTTAACCTGCACGATATCCCGAAATCCCCTCGCGGTATCTTCGTGGCTCACATCTCGTCCCGGGCCCGCTTCATCAATTGAAGGATCCAAGTGGTCCCATGCATCGCCTAGATGGGCAAGCATGTTGTGTAGAGTCACACAACAGTTTACCCACCTAATGATCTCCATCATATCCGATGGCTTCTGAATGGCCAGCCTTAGTTGCTGCAGAGAAGCCCAACAACCCTTGAGGATACCAATCGTATGCTCGTTCCGGACCCGAGATCGTGCCAGACAGTAGTTAAATTCTGTGTTCTCCAAGACGTAGGCCGCGGGTGCCTTGTAGGCCGGAATGCAGTGCAAACCCAACTCATACGCGGAGTCGGCGATCAGATATTGCCCTAGGGAATTGGAGGATGTGAGGAGGATCTGAGCTAACAATCCACCACGCGGAGTTCATGAACAACAACTTGCCCACCTACCAGGATCAAAGAAACCACCCGGATCCCTATGTACCGCCATTTTCTTGAAGACCATGCTGTCACCACACGAACCCGGCCAGCCCGTCATGTAACCCGTGATGAACCGATCGCAGTCGCATATGACCTGACAGTTGATTGAATAGCGTTTTTTCCGATCAAAGAACACCTCGCCGTCAATTGACGGCCGCTGGTAGAGTGGGATGGTTGTCCCATCAACGAACCCTATACAACCTTCAAAACCCTCGGCCTTCATGACATTGGAGATCTCCTTCCTTCGATCCGCATCGGGCCAGAGCAGATAAGTATGGGATAAATGATTAATCGCCTGGATGACCCTGCGACTTGCCTTGATAACGGTCCCCCGGCCAACGCCCAAGTTACGTGAGAATCGCCCGACAGAGGCCCCATTACCATTTGACCCAAGCCTTTCTAGAGTGAGAGCCAGTTGATGCGGGACCGGTAGTTGCGGACGGAAGCTAGCGCTGTGAAAAACAGGGTTGAGCGTAATCAGACCCAAAAGCCACATGAAGCCCAACTTCGTTGTTCGAACGGCCTGCTTAAAATCCTCGTCTCGCATGTTGAAAAGCTGGGCCAAGTCGAATTCTTCACGTGTTCTCCCCGGCGATCGGTCATTTAAGTATCGATTACGGAGAACCAAATCAAAGACATCGGATATCATAGCCTGATCGTCAAATAAAAAGTCCAGCACGAAAGTGCGGCCAGGATTCGTAGGGGCCAATATTTTCCCAAGTGATGGCACCGTGGGGATTCCTAAGGTTGAGTCAATGAGGTCGTCTGTCTCCTGCTGGTGGAGAAATGCCAGTATCATGAAGATATCTCGGAGTATCTGTTGACGCTCGCTGTTTTTGTGCATGGTGTGGGATCGGATGATTTGGTGAGTTGCTGGTTTAAAAATCCGGTAAGTTGATTGAGATGGTTTCTTCGGGTCGGAGGGTTGCTGGCGTGCGTGGAACAGGTTTCTTCGGGTCGGAGGGTTGCTGGCGTGCGTAGGAAAATTATTATGCAGTGGTGGGATGTGATCACCAGTGCGTTCGCATTGCTAAATTTCACTGGTGCATGAATGCTGGTGGGTTAAACACTCCCTAAAATTTTAACGTGCGCAGCATGCGCATCTCTACTGGTGGGACGATAAAACTTTTCTGGTGAAAAGCTATCGTGAACCCCCCTATTGTGTCTTCCATCTTATAGTCCCACAGGAAGAAGGACTGTCAAAGAAGAAAGCAGTTATAAGATGATACTAAAAAAACCGCGAGACTTTCAATGATCCGACACCTGCATAATCCGAGAGGTCCAAAAAATTGCAGGTGCAACACGTTAGCTAGTCCCCAAGCAAAACTGGGGACTGAGCCGCGAATTATTGGTGTAATTTTTCCAAAAAAAATACAGGAGATACCTGAGATGCAAGGCTATCATCAGGCGGAAGGGCGAGTGAGAAGGAGTTGTGTTGAATTTTTAATTAAATTTTGAACACTATATTGTCAATTTCCAGGGTAAAATTTCCATGTACTCAGGCTGCCAGTCTGACTTGCCAGGTAAGCCTCTCCTTCGGAGAGCGTCCCTTCGGGACGCGGGGTCCCTTCGGGACCCTCCGATCGAGAGGCTTATGTTAAGCTCGCTACTAGGGACCCGTATCCAATTTTATAAACCCTTGGTGGGGGCGCACGCGTCAGAACTGATGATGAAAGTGTGGCCCAGTAGGGACCGGGGTCCGGCACTTGGCACTCATTCTGCGGTAGGAATGACCCCATCCCACAGCCCAGAACTATGTATCGACCTGGTTGCAAGTGGTGCCACCTGTCTCGCATGACGATCATCTCAACCCTTATCGATTGGAGGGAAAGAGACCCTGCTTGGGGATCTTCTCCACATCCAGACTTTGCAAAGTTGCAGCTTGTCTGCCCGCATGCTGCACAGATTCCGCCTGAGCCTGATTCACTCGGGGTGCTTATTGGCTTGATCCGAACTCATCAGCACTCTAAATATCTCCCTCAGTGATTTGTTCGATTCGCAAGCCGTATGCTTTCTGACAGATATCACGAGCCCAAAACGGGATTGATGATTGATTGCCGAGCGGCACACAATCACTCCTTCAAATACAATTACATAAAAACTGAAGCAAGAGAAGTAGAAAAAGATCCCTCACGTTCGTTTCATCCTGTCTGTTTTCATGTCGCCTCTCTTCAGTCACTACTACGCTATATCCTTCAGACCTGGAAATTGCAGGCTGATATGCAGAAATCCACCATTCTTGGGAAGTTGGGTTGAATCACAATGTCACATGTTCAAAAAGATAGCAAATGTTTTTGTGATTGTCAAGCTTGAAAGAAATTTTATAAAAAAAAAGGAAACATAGTTAAGAAGTAGAAATATATGATTGAAAAAGCTTCTCAAGTTGTGTTATAAATTGTCTTCTAGAAGTCTTTTCAGGCCATCTATTTTTTTTTGTAGGCTTATAGGCGTAAGAGATACAATATAATCTTTGCTGTTAACCAAAAAGGACAACAAAAAAACTTAGATGGTTGAAGTGTCCACTATTCAAATGAATCAAAGCCTAGGGGGGTTGGTGCATCGATCATTGACGGCTTGAATTGGAAGAGTAGAAGGCTTGTGCTGCTCGAGTTATCAGACATTGAGGTTACATACATATCAGAAGAAGTCAGTTTTACGATCAAAAACAAATCTACACATTTGAACATTGCAAATGATTCACCTCGAAATTGACTGTATTCGGGTGACAGCACATGGCCAGATATCTATAGTCTGCACATACTAGCTTGTTCACGATTGGTTCGGGCTTCGAATTCGAGTTTGAGTTCGATTTAGGATTTTGTTTTGATTTCGAGCCACTGGAAATCGGCTCCACCACTTTTTCAATTGCATTCACAATTCGAGAGAAAGAGAGAAATGATGGCCTCAGTCAATCTACATTTTTGTAATGGGAAGAGAGAGAGAGAGAGAGCTTACGATTGAAGTCTGTGGGGGCCTTGGTGGGCTGGTCAGGGAAGTGGATTAGTCGCCCACAAACTGCCTGTGGGGCCGGCTTGCCTTTGAATGTTTGGTGGTCGCAAGTGAAGATATATTTGGAACCCTCTTTGGCGAGCACTAAGCCGGAAGTAACACTGATCAAAATCACCAATAGTTTCGAGAACTGCATCCTGTCTGGGTTGTCTATTATAAACCGCAAACTGATAAACGTGATGTGAGAGATGGGGGCTCAGATTGTGGAGACCTGAAGTAACAGTTTGGGTAGTGCGTATGGTGGGCGCTCTAGAATGGGTGATGGAAAGATGATGAGCGATGGCATCTTCTCCCTCTTATAATGAAGGCAAGAGTGGCTATAGTCTTGCAAGCAGAGCTACACCAGTGATGGCTGTTGTACGGGCTAAAAAGGATCGCAATATGGCCATAAAGTCCTCCGAGGATATGGGTGAAGATTGCACTGCCGACTTGGCAGGCTTTGCTTACAGGCGTTATTATCCGGTATGATCCATGGCGCGCGCCGTGTGTGTACCGGCCGAAGGCATGGTCTGCTGTGCTCGGTAACTGTCGGCACCCGTGGCGGCCACTTGTATGTGGTTGTCCGTTGGAATGGCCCGCCGCCACAACTGCAGGCACAAGGCCCGCGATCGCCGGCCTGGATCCACTTCGTCCATCTCTTCGGCACCAAGCTGTCCCTAAAGATCACATTCAATCGCACTCCACGATTCTATAATATGTATGTGGCATATGTAAGAGACAAGAGCAGAGACCTTCCACGGCTATCTTATTTCCACGAGGCTTTGCCAAGGCTCAAATAGTGCATGGTGCAACGCTACATACATACTCCCTACCAATGGCTGGTCAGAATCCGGCCGTCCTTGAACGTCGGTGATGGAGGACATCATGACCTTGTATGTATACTGTCTCACTTCCATGTGACTCTCACTGACTCTCGGATCTTGTCGACTCAACTTCTTCAAATCTCTTCTTATCTTTGATCTTATTTTGTGATGAGTACGATTGATAACAATTGCTCGAAAGTGAGGAGAGCCTTGAGGGAGGTGAAAAATAAGAGGCAGCTGGAAGAGTCATAATGGGAGCAGTTCAACCGAAGTTAGACTGGTGTTGTTCGGCCCTATTAACGATTCTCAAGACATCAGCGACCAAGTAGAGACTCCCACAAACGACGACGAGCTCGTCTTTATTCCTAGCCATCGAGACAGCGAGTTGTAGTGCTTCGATCGGGGAGTGGACGGCTTTGATAGCCGCGTGAGTGGGAGGAGAATGGAGGGGTAGACGGTTTTGAAAGTGGTTGGCAATGAGATCGGGAGGGACCGGGTGGACCCAATCCATGTCCTCAGGGGCTGAGAAGGTAGTGCTGACGAGCTGGACAGGCCAGGCCGATCTGTCGAGCCCGAGGGCCTCGATCAGGTCCGCGGGATCCCTGGGGGAGCTGATGGCCATGACGAGAGTGATCGGACGATGGAGTGTGCTGATGTGGTCTCCTAGCACTTGGGCCGACGCTCGGTTATGTGCCCCGTCAAGTAACAGCTGGGAGCCTCGGTACTCGACGAGCTCTAATCGGCCGCGCCAGCGAGTCTTCTGGAGACCTTCGAGGATCGCTCGGTCGGTCACTTTCTCAGATAGGGAGGGCAGCAGCTTCAGTGGATGGTGGTGCGTTCGAAGCAGCTGGGCCAGTGTGGCCGCAGTGGCTGCATTTTGATGCTGGAAGCCGGCATCAGGACTTAACAAGTTCGCGATCGTCGGAGACGAGTGAGTTGATGTATCCCGGTCAGTGTAGTCGGAAGACGAAAGATACTCCTCGAGGGGCGTCAAAGGTAATGGTGGAAGTGGCTGTTGGCTGGGAGGCTGAGGGAGCGGATAAGGACGGACGGAAAAGACATCGCACGATTCGGCTGATCCTTTATTGCGCACGATCTCCCGGACCTCTTCGAAGGACTGCTGGGCGAGAAGGATTGGGACGTTCGGCTTGGCGATGCCAGCCTTCTGGACAGCGATTTCGGAGATGGTCGAGCCCAGGAAAGCCTGATGGTCGACCGAGATGGGGGTGATGCAGCTCAGCAGGGTGTTCTCAGACTGACAGAGGTTCGTCGAATCCTTCTGACCGCCAAGACCGACTTCGATGAGTGCAAGATCGAGCTCGGATTGCGGTCTGGCGAAGATCTCGAAGGCGATGGCCGTCAGCAGCTCGAAGGAGGTGGGCTGGTCTATCCTGTTCCGGTCGATTAGCCTCTGGATCTTTGATTTTGTATCCTCGAACGTCTTCCGGTCGATGTTGTGTCCGTCGAGGTTGATGGAGTCGGTGGGATCGAGCAAGAAGGGGCTGGTGAACCTGCCGACCCGGTATCCTGAGCTCCGCAAGATCTCCGCCTCGTACGCACACACCGAGCCTTTCCCGTTCGTCCCGGCCACATGGATGATCGGGATCCGGAGCTGGGGGTGCGCCAGACATTCGAGCAGTCGGCCGATCCGTTCCAGGCCGAGTTTGATGGCCATCTTCCGATTTTCCTAGGAGCAGTTCTCCCAGTCGGACTTTCCTAGATATATCCAGCTGTGCAGCGAGGCCATCGACTGATTATATGCAACACTCTTCTTTCCTTCTTCTTCTTCCTTCATCATGGGCAGCATCCCAGAGTCAGACACCCACCTCATCACTCGCTTCAGCCATCCATACTACTTCCTCAGACTACTCGCCTGCTTCCCCGCCCTGCTCTACTGGCTCCTGGTCTCCATCCCAAGCCACTCCTCCTCAGCCCAACAGATCAGATTCCTCTGGTCCTCTCAACTCACCCTGACCATCCCGCTCATCGCCGTCCCCGTCTTCGTCTTCTTCCGGCTCAGACAGGTTCGCAAAAATTTCAGTCTCCGCTCGCTCTGTCTTGGTATGTAAAAGCTTCCTCTATCGTCTGTAACCCTTCTTTTTCGATCAAAATTGACAAACCTCGACTCCTCTTTCGAGAAAATAATTAGAAACTCTCCTCGACACTTGGCTGGTTAATTTTGTGGCCTTCAATTTGGGCTCGTTGGCCTACCTAGGAGGATGGGTCCCTGCGATGACTTACTTGACCTGCTTGATATGTAAGTCTCCACAATTCGATGATTCGAATAGCTTCTTCCTTCCTATCACTCATACATCTTTGCTCGACAGCATTCGGTGTGATATGTCCCAAACCAGCCTATCTAGGTCCGTCTAAATTGAGAGTCATGAGCCCAGAGGTCGGTTTTTCTTTTTTTTTTCTTTCTTTTTTTTTCGTGACCCATCTCATCAAACCAAGCCTTCTCACTCGTTAAGTATGAACCTATCCTAAATGTGACTGTCTGGATTTTTTTTGTTCACTAACATGTTTTGTTGAAAAACTTACACAGACTTTCACTACCGAAATCTTAAACCGAAATTATTCATCGATCGTTGGGTTTTCGGCAGGCGAGCTAGTGGATCTGAGTCCCGAGAAATTGCAAGCCGAGGTGCTGGAAGGCTCGAAGCCGAAGTCGAAGGAGCACTTTTCCAGAAAGAAATGGGTGATCTGGCCGATTTCCGAGTCTCGAAAACGCGCTCAAGTCGGCTTCATGGACATGGAGATCATCCTTGCCGATCTCTCGCTCCGGTAGGTTTTATTCGACTGTATAAGCTACGGATGAGGGATGATGATCGTCTTGCTGATTGAGGTAGAGGATCCATTGTCTGCCTTAGATTCAAAGATTCGGAAGAGGAGGAGATCGGATTCGTCATCTTGGAGATGAAGAACTCGAATTCGTTGTGTGCAACTCTTAAGATTTGGTCGGATGATGATTCGGCGGCTTCTCCAATCCTGCCAGAAGTGGACGACTTTGTCTTGCTACAATATCAAGCCGGAAGAGAAATTAACAGATTACCTGCTCGTCAACTTTATAACGATAACGGCTCAGATAGTGAAGAGGAAGTTCCAGTTCAAGACTCGCATTCTAGCGTTACTGTCGTCTGGAGTCAGGTGCGTCACTCTCATCATGCTTTTCTTCTTATGAATGTTATTTCTCTGCTAAAACTTGGTTTACAATTTTAAATTTCTAGCAAACAATCCTCGAAGCCTTCAAGTTGAAATGAAGCCAGGTCTGGCGACTTTTGAAAACGAGCACTCTCACCGTCAAATCAATCGATCCGTGTCCGGATCCATCATTACAAGACTGAGTAATCACAAATGAGCTCATCCACTTGAATTTCCCATCTTTTCCCTCCTCTCTTGTAATCAATATCGTCTTTGTATCCAATTTGACTCTCTCATCATCCTATCGTGATAAGATGGGCCTGGCTTTAGTAGCCTTTGTGCTTATTGAATCCTCTGGTAACTTATAAGTAGGATTCATTCATAACTGGGGACGGAAGCCCGAAAAAGGAGATGAGAGAAACAAGTGATGGTTCTAAGTCAATACTACAGTCAAACCTGTCTAAGGGCATACCCCTTGGGAGAAGAATTTATGTATGCCTGTAAACAGGTTATGCCCTTAGAGAGAGGGAATTTGCAGCAAAATCAAGTTTTGGGAGAAGCCCTTCACTATCCCCTTATACAGGTTATGCACACAGAAAGGTATGCCCTTAGACAGGTTTGACTGTACAACGGGACTGGTTGACACTCTAGCTGATACCGATCTAAATTTTTACAGGGACTGTTCATCTATGAGTGTCTATTTTATTCTAGGCCGGGAAGAAATGATATAGCACTGGTTTGAAGTTATGATGTTAGGAGGTACGCGGGGGGGGGTTGCCGGAACGAGTGAGATGAGATTGGACCATTGTAAGACATCTTTCGAAGAGCGATGAGATTATTGTAGAATCTATTTAACTGATTGGTCCTCAATTAACTTATTTCGACTTGGTGGTTGGTGCCGAAGAACTACTTGATGTCTAGCGGTTTGCCATCTGGGCGGACGCAAGCCGAGGACACATATTCAGCATTCGAGGAGAACCTTGGCTGGATACACAAACAATGATCAGTTCAAGTTTGATTGTTAATTATAGTCGGACAAACACATGACATGTAGAGCAATAACCTGTGGCAACTTACTTCTGGGACCCCGCAGCATGCTTCGGTTTTATAATCATCGGTTTGGGAGCAGTCATAATGACCAGAATTCCAAGGAGGCGCGACGACTAGGAAAACGATCGTTGGAGCACACTCATCATGATTAGAATTATTTCTATGTAGTTTATAGAGCGCTAAAATTGCAAGCTTACATTCTACCGTGAGTTGATACTGCACGCCGGGATTCGGCCCTTGATAAGGCTCTTTCCTTACTGGGCTTGCACAGTGAGGCCATTGGAAGCGAACGCCTCTCCGGTCTTGGCCGGCATTTTCACATCCATGGCAAGCTACCTGAGACGCTTGGAGCTGGAATAGCAAGAGTCCCATTGGGATCCCGAACGAGTTTTTTATGGAGAGCTTCATGACGTGTGTTGATGTGAGTGTACGGAAATTCTTCAAAAAAGATGGCGATTGCTGAAGTATGTAGACTCTGTTTAAATGTGATTCTGGTTTTGGGGGAGAGGTGGGGGAGAGTCTGAATGTCGCCTCTACAAAGGTGTGTACTATTTATCGACATCAGAATACACTGACATTGCGTGGAGGGGTTCATCCATTATTTCCATCAAGAGGCTGTGCACACATTGCTTATTTTGTGTTCAATTGTACAGGAAATACACCGTACATGCTCTGTACAATGTTGCACCGTTGGCCAAGTGGCTGTGGTAGCGCTGCAACAATGCAAGACCGCCCACCAGTGGCAACCGGGCTGCAGAGGCTTGCATTGTAGGCTATACATAGCCCACTTGGTAAGCTAGCTGCCACGCGGCCAGCACCCGGGTCCCGCTCCCTACCAGTCCACCGGCGTCCCGTGTCCATGGAGACCCGAGGCATTGCTATGTGTGGTGCTACAGAGGTCGATTCCTTGGCTCTTGGGCCTACCTGTTTCTCCTCTGCCTCGAATGGCTATAACTTATGAGTGAAAGCCAAGAGGATACGACAAGTTAACGGTTGCTTGAAGGCCGGTTCACAATTGATACCTTTCTCTACTAACTTGTATCAAATCAGTCTCTGCTTGATGAAATTGAAATTATGTGCCGAAATTATTTGTTGATCATAGGGTTTTCAGCAGGGGAGCTACTGCATCTGAGTCCAGGGAGATTGAAAGCCGAGCTGTCGGATGCCCCGAAGCCAAAGACAACCACTTTGCCAAAAAGAAAGGGGTATTCTGGCCGATTTCTGAGTCTCGTAAACGATCTCAGGTCGACTTGAGGGATAAGGAGATCATCCTTGCCGATCCCTCGCTTCAGTGGGTTGAGTTTTTTTATTTCTTTTTCTTTCTTCGGGCCATATACAACGGATGATAATTATCAAGGTAGAGGATCAATTGTCTGCCTTGGATTGAAGGATTCTTCGAGCGAGATGGAGAACTCGAGTTCGTTGTGTGCTACTCTCAAGATTTGGTCGGATCATGATTCGGCGGCATCTTCATCCTACCAGAAGTGGACGACTTTGTCTTGTCACAATATCAAGCCGGAAGAGAAATTAATTGATTGCCTGCTCGTCAACTTTATAACGATAACGGCTCAGATAGTGAGGAGGAACTTTCAGTGCAAGACTCGCATTTTAATGTCGTCTGGACTCGAGGCAGGTGCGTCATTATTGTCATGCTACTCATCTCATATATATCATTTCTATCATGTTCTTTTTTTTTCTGACTTGGTTTACAATTTTTGTAGCCGAAAAACCTCGAAGCCCTCAAGTCGAACTGAGCGCGTATCGCTAATTAATCATGAATGAGCCATTCCATTTAAATTTCTCATTTTTCCCTCCTCTGTTGTAATCGATTTTATTTTGGATCCGCCGTGATAAAATAGGCCTGGCTTTTGTAGCCTTTGTGCTTATTGGATCTTCTGGTAACTTATAAGTAGGATTCATTTATAACTAGGGACGGAAGCCCGCAAAAGGAAATGAGAGAAACAAGCGATGGTTCTTTGCAAGCCAATACTAAAACGGGACTGGTTGACACTCTAGGTTAAGCCAGTCTAAATTTCCATAAGGACTGTTCATCTACGAATGTCTTTTTTTTCTAGGCCGGGAAGAAATGATACAGCACTAGCTTAAATTTATGATGGAAGAAGGTGCCGGAACGAGCATCTTTCGAAGAGCGATGAGATTATTACAGAATCTGTTGAACTGATTGGTTCTCAATTTACTTATTTCGACTTGGTGGTTGGTGGAAGAACTACTTTATGTTTAGCGGATGGCCATCTGGGCGGGAGCAATCCTTGTCCATATATTCAAGAGACAAGATGAACTTGAGCTGGATACACCAATAATGATCAGTTCAAGATTGATTGGTAATCATAGTCGGACAAACACATGACATGTAGAGCAATAACCTATGGCAACTTACACCTGTGGTTTTGCAGCATGCTTCGGTTTTATAATTATCGGTTTGGGAGCAGTCATAATGATCAACATTCCAAGGAGGCGCGACGACTAGGAAAACGATCGTTGGAGTGCACTCATCATGATTAGAATTATTTCTATGTAGTCAGAGCGCTGAAACTTCAAGCTTACATTCTACCAAGGTGTTTGTTTGGCTGCCACCCCCTGAGAAGTGCTCATTCGTTCGCTTTACGTTGCCTGCACAGAGGGGATATTGGCGGGGAACGCCGTTCCTGTCTTGGCCAGCTTTGTCACATCCATGGCAAGCTACCTGAGACGCTAGGAGCTGGAATAGCAAGAGTACCATTGGGATCCCGAACGCGTTTGTTATGGAGAGCTTCATGACGTGTGTTGATGTGAGTGTACGAGAATACTTTAAAAAAGGTGGCGATTGGTGAAGTAGACTGTTAAATGAGACTCTGGTTTAGGGGGAGAGGTGGGCGGGGTGGGTCCAAATGCTGCCTGCACGAAGGTGTGTGCAATTTATAGACATCAGAATATATACTGAAATTTCGTGGAGGGGTTGATCCATTATTTCCATCAGTGGCTGTACACACATTGCTTATTTTGTGTTCAATTGTACAGGAAATACCCCGTACATGATCTATACATACAATGTTACACCATTGGCCAAGTGGCTGTGGTAACGCTGCAACTATGTAAGACCGCCCACCAGTGGCAAACGGGTTGCAGAGGCTTGCACTGTAGTCTATACAAAGCCGACGTGGTAAGCTAGCTGCCACGCTGCCAGCACCCGGGTCCCGCTCCCTTCCAGTCCACCGGTGTCCCGTGTCCATGGTGACCCGAGGCATTACTGTATGTGGTAGTACAGAGGTGGATTCCACGAGCCCACCTGTTTCTCTTCTTCCTTGAATGGCTATACCTTATGAGTGAAATCCAAGAGGATACGAGAAGTAAGGGTTCCTTGAAGGCCGGTTCACAATTGATACTTTTCTCTGCTCACTTGTAAATACGTGTCTGCTTGATGAAATTGAAACTATGTGCCGAGATTATTTGTTGATCATAGGGTTTTCAGCAGGGGAGCTACTGCATCTGAGTCCAGGGAGATTGAAAGCCGAGTGGTCGGATGTCCCGCCTGGTCGTCAACTTTATAACGATAACGGCTCAGATAGTGAAGAGGAACTTTCAGTGCAAGACTCGCATTTTACTGTACTCTGTAGTCTGGACTCGAGTCAGGTGCGTCATTCTTGACATGCCATTCGTCTCATATATATCATTTCTATCATGTTCTTTTTTTCTGACTTGGTTTACAATTTTCGAGTTTGAGCAAATAATCCTCGAAGCCTTCAAGTCGAACTCACCCCGGGCCCGTATGGTCAATTAGCCACGAATGAGCCAATCCATTTGAACTTCCCATCTATTCCCTCCCCTCTTGTGATCAATATTGTTTTTGTATTCGATTTGGCTCCCTCATCATCCTCTCGTGATAGAATGGGCCTGGGTTTTTTGGCCTTTGTGTTTATTGAATCCTCTGGCCGGTAACTTATACGTAGGATTCATTTATAAACAGGGACGGAGGCCCGAAAAAGGAAATGAGAAAACAAGCGAGGGTTCTTTGCAAGCCAATACTAAAACGGGACTGTTTGACACTCTAGGTTAAGCCAATCTAAATTTCTGCAGGGACTGTTCATCGATGAATGTCTGTTTTTTTCTAGGCCGGGAAGAAATGATATAGCACTAGCTTAAAGTTATGATGGAAGAAGGTACGCGGGGGGGGGGGGGGGGGAAGGTTGCCGGAGCGAGCATCTTTCGAAGAGCGATGAGATTATTACAGAATCTGTTGAACTGATTGGTTCTCAATTAACCTGTTTCGACTGGGTGATTGGTGCCAAAGAACTACTTTATGATTAGCGGATGGCCATCTGGGCGGGTGCAAAGCTTGAGTGCATATTCAAGAGGCAAGATGAACCTTGGCTGGATACACAAACGATGATCAGTTCAAGTTTGATTGGTAGTTATAGTCGGACAAACACATGACATGTAGAGCAATAACCTATGGCAACTTACATTTGGCATTTTGCAGCATGCTTCGGTTTTATAATAATCGCTTGCGGAGCAGTCATAATGATCAACATTCCAAGGAGGCGCGACGACTAGGAAAACGATCGTTGGAGCACTCATCATGATTAGAATTATTTCTATGCAGTTAGAGCGCTGAAATTTCACGCTTACATTCTACCGAGGTTGTTACGTGGCTGCCGCCAACTATTGTTCCCCTAACCACTCGCTTTCCTTTGCTTGCACAGTGAGGATATTGGAAGCGAATGCCGTCGGCCCGGTCTTGGCCAGCTTTATCACATCCATGGCAAGCTACCGGAGACGCTAAGAGCTGGAATAGCCAGAGTACCATTGAGATCCCGAACGAGTTTGTTATGGAGAGCTTCATGACGTGTGTTGAATTGAGTGCACAGGAATTCTTCAAAAAAGATGGTGCTGAAGTAGACTCTGTTAAATGAGGTTTTTGTTTTTTTCGTAGGTGAGGTGGGCGGGGGAAATCTCACAGCCGCCGCTACGAAGGTGTGTACAATTTATGTATAGACATCAGAATATGAAGCGCTTGCAGCATGCCTCTTTGTACAGTCAGTTTAGCTGTTGTTATAGCTTTTTGATGTGTCAAGCCCCTTGAACGCAAAATACAGAACTTGTGTGGAGGGATTGATCCATTATTTCCATCACGGGGCTGTACACACATGCCTGCCGTGCTTATTTTGTAATCACTTGAACAAGAAATACCCTGTATTACACCCTGTTACACCATTGCCCCGGAACGAGAACCCAATCGGATGCGGTGGCGCTGCAACAATGCAAGACTGCCAACTGTTGTAACCCAGAAGGGTTACGGACCCTGAGACTCGCCGCAGTAACGTATATATACTGTTCCCTTATAGCACAACTTTGTCAAGGAACTGGAGGACTTCCCGTCGGATCTGAAACCCTCGCAGGTTTTGAGTTAGACCCAAAAAGTCTAGATTTTTGCAGGGAAATCTAGCTTTTTTGGCTCTAAATCAAAACTGGGAGACCCGCAGATGTTGATGGGAAGTCATCCACTGGAGGACTTCCCGTCAACATCTGCGGGTCTCCCACTAGAGTCGGTTTAGAGCTGCAAAATTCAAATTTCTCTGCAAGAATTAAGAGTTTTCGGGTCTAGATTGACTTCTGTGAGGGTCCCAGATCCGGCAGGAAGTCCTCCACTGGACGACTTCTCGTCAAATCTGCGGGTCTCCCAGAAGTGATTTAGAGGCCTTGAAAGCTAGATTTCCCAGCGAAATTCTAGACTTTTTGGGTCTAAATCGACATCCGTGAGGGTTGCAGATCCGACGGGAAGTCCTCCACTGTTTCTGATAAAAATAGGGTCTCAGTCAACCGACTCCCAAAAATTAGAGTTCTGACTCCCAAATTTTTGGGACATCGTGAGGACCGCTTGTTGACATGGGCCAGGACGTCCTGACCCCCTAATTTTATTCCCCTGGTTTTTTGGGAGTTGGACCTCCAAGAGGTTCAACTTGCTTAGAAGTCAAACCTGTGAAAAAAATAAGAAAAAATAAGAAAAATTGATTCCCCCCGGGGGGGTTTTGGGAGTGAATACTCTAAAAACCCCATGGGGGGTTGTGAGTCGGCTGCAAAAAAAGAAAAAAAAACTCCCAACGGCCGGGATGATTCCTCTTGGCCGTCAAGACTATACCCTCTTGGCGGCTGGGAGGATTCCTCTTGGCTGTGGAGAGGGTACACACTCCACAACCGAGAGGGCTTTTCTTGGCCATCAAGAGTGTACACTCTCAATGGCCAAGAGGACTCCTCCCGGCCATCAAGAGTGTACACTCTCAATGGCCGAGAGTGGATACTCTCCAGAGGCCGAGCAAAGGTACACTCTCCAGAGGCCGAGAGGAATGTACACTCTTGGTGACCAAGAGGGCCCTCTCAATCGCTGAGAGTGTACAGCTCTCAGCAACCAAGAGGGATTCTCGGCCCGCTGAGAGCTGTACACTCTATGGCCAGGAGGAATCTCTCCCGGCTGCTGAGAGTGTACAACTCTCAGCGGGCCAAGAGGGATTCCTCTTGGTCAGAGAGTGTACAACTCTCAGCGGCCGGGAGGAATCTCTCCCGGCTGCTGAGAGTTATATACAGCTCTCAGCGGGCCAAGAGGGATTCCTCTCAGCGGCTGAGGGCTTTCTGGCGCCGCCTGACTCCCAACTTCCCTGGGGTGTAGTATCCACTCCCAAGAATCCCCCGGGGGGAATAATTTTTTTTTCATATTTTCATATTTATTTTTTTTCAGGTCTGAATTCTAAGCAAGTCAGACCTTTTTGGATGTCCAACTCCCAAGAAACCGGGGGAAAAAAATATGGGGTCAGGACGTCCTGGCCCCCATCAACAGGCAGTCTTTGATGTTCCAAAAATTGAGTGAGAACTCCAATTTTTGGGAGTCGGTTGACTAAGACCCTAAAAATAAGCTATCACCTTTGTTTTCATATTCTCAAAGTTTAGTATTGCAATTTTACTGTTGATAGGTGTAAATACAAAATAAACTCAATGAGGAAAAGGAAAACAATTTTAGAAAGAAATGAGTCTCTATTTATCATAATTCTCAAACCTCTAGTCCTCTCGCTTCTTGCTGTCTCTTTCTCAAAACCACATGTTGATATTCCTTTTCTTTCCTTTCCAACCTCGTTAACTATTTACTCTTTTCTTACTGTTTCCTTGACTATCTTACTGTCTCCGTTATTTACTTACCGTTTCCGCTCAATCCTCCCGGACTTCCACGGGATTCTCACACATACTTCCATGGATTTTAGAAAATCTTAAGTCCTCAGGGAGAATTTTTACATCTATCCCTTCTCTCCATCATTCCCAGAGATTCCACCGTGAGGAGTGAACACCAACCAGTGGCAACAATTCAAGATGTTGAAGAACTGCAGCAGCAGAGGCCTGCAGCACCCACTCCCGTTAAGTCCACTGGTGTCCCGTGTCCATGGAGAGTTGAGTATAAGTGGAATACAAGAAGGATGAATCAAGAGAATTAAGGGTTGTTTATTCACATTTGACACTTTCCTTTGCTAACTTAGACTGAATTGTCTGCTTGCTGAAATTGAAAATACGTGCCAAAATTATAATTTGTCAATTGATGGCTTTTCAGCATCCAAGGCGCCACTGAATGTGAGTCCACAAAAATCAGGGGGTTTCAAAAGAGAAATCCCAGGTTCCAGGAGCTTGAAGCCTCAAGCAGGTCCAAAAATCCAGGAAAAAAATCCCGCCGGCCTGGAATGTCTCCTGCGGGCTGCACACCTTCTACCTCTGGCCTTGCAGGAGGTGACCCACAGTTCCAGGGAAACAGGAAAAAGTTAGATACAACAGCGGGTTTACACTACCCATAACGGTAGTGTAACAAAAACGTAACAGAATTGTGGCCGTTAGTGTGACAATAACCGCAAAAGCCTGTCCATTACATTTTCTTCTTTCTTTTTTCCACTTTTTTTATTGTTGTTATGCTATCCACCACCATTAAGTGTGGATAAAAAACACATAACAAGGGGGTTCAACCTCACACAACATGGATAACGTGCTGCTTGCATTGTTTTTTTCCGTAACAAGGGGTAAAATCCCTCCTGTTATGTTACTCAAAGGTAAAAAAGCATTGCATTCTGGATAACACTAACATTTTTATCCAATGCTCTGGGAAGTTAAGTTACAAAAATCCCTCCAGATATCGTAACATATATAAATTCCCAGTGTGGGTAGATATATTGGTAAAATATCAAATTTTTTTCTTGACCAGCCTCCTATCACTCTGTTTGGTCCACCATGATTGCCCATGACTGCCACCCAAAAGCTCAGTTCAAACTTCTTACATGCATGATACATCCTCCAACCATGCTGAAAAAACAACCCATTCCTCTGCCAGGCACCCCAATTGTAGCTGCTTAATGGTGCAAATGGATTACCAAGCATTTGGAACATACTGGATTGACTCACTATTAAAGGGAATGGTCAGCAATGGTGAGGCTATGCCAAGATCACTTCAACTAAGGCTGTCATAGCCATCAAGTCAACCATGGGCCTCCCAATGATGGATCCCATGCTGTCTCATCTCTGCAATGATCTTGGCACTTAGTAACCTCCTAGATTCTCCTGTTCACCATTGGTAATAGTGGTTGTCAGTTGCAAGCCAACTGAGGAGGACAGCCATACTAGAATGGCCACCATCAATTCCATTGGTGTCCCAGGGTGTTCCACAGCTTTGACAAGCCATGATTTGAAGGAGAAAAAGTGCTCCATCAGTGTTGGGTGAATGGGCTAAAAAAACTGGGAGAGGAAGTTACCCTTTTGGGGCCCCAGCAGTGGAGCTAAAACTTAAAATTAGTTCAAAAACGTCTCAGGTTGTGGACTTCTAAAGATGGGGCAGCAACCCCTGATATATCAGTCAAACAATCAGTAGTGGTTGAACAGTGCTACAGCACAGTTTTTTCTTTTGGAGAGGATAATTGGAAAGACACATGTCTCACTGTTCAAAGACGATACATGTGTATGTCTCAGGAAAGTGAGACAACAAAAATCCGGTGTAAGACTCAAAAGTGGTTGTGAAACCCTTTTGCTGAATGGAGAAGGGGATGGTGGAGTTGCAATCTCTGCCCTTCTATGCTATCAGAGCAACAAGACCACCAAGCTCAGCTTGGCAGTTTATATATTGTGATAGAGGACAGTTTGAGATGAAGCTGTCAAATGAGTTGTATAACGGTTAAGATGATGTTGATTGTTGGTGATGATGTTGATGTTGATGAGGTTATTGTTGGTAGAAGTGGTGATGGTGAATGTTGTCGAGGTTGAGGCTTGAACGCAGGTCCTTGAGGTTGATGGTATATAAAGTTAAAAAGAGGTGATTTGGAACCAAGGCACTGGTGCTGGGAGCACTATGCTTCAACCAGGAATGGAACAGGGGACTGGGCACTTGGTATGATGATGATGATATGAAAGTGTTATGAATATATTGCAATAAAATAAGGGTGGTTATATAACTGTGACCTGTAATATAATGAGTGGTAATTGTAAGTGTGGTTGAGATGATCTGGTCCACTGGTGGGATGATGAAAGGTACAACTGGCAGGCAGGGGCACATGCAGGTGAGGGAATTTGGCTGGCCTGAAAATCCAATGAGGGAATTTAGCTAGTCTAGTACATGCAGGTGAGGGAATTTGGCTGGTGAGAGCACTGCCTTGAGGGATTTTGGCTAGCCTACAAGGTTCTACTACAAAGGAATGCATGTGCACTTACAAATGAATTCAATATAAAATATAAGCCAGTAAAGGAATTCAATATGAAACAAAGGAATTCAATATGAAATATGCATCCAGTATTCAAAATGAGACTTGGTCAGGATAATAATAAAGAAAAACTCCAGTGACAGCTTGAGATAAGTGTAACTTCTCTGGAAACTCTATGTGAAACACAATGGTACTCAATGGCAAAGGTCTGCTTGGGTGTTCAGTCACACAAACTTGGTTTCCCAAAATGTTTGGACTTGCTTCTTGATCCGTTTGTTGGACTCAGTCATCCAAGTCATCAAGGATTGCAATCACTTCACAGCCAACCAATCTCTTGTTAGGCTCTTCAAGCCAGTGATAGATGCAATTGGTCATTTGGAGCGAGCCAGAACAACTCTTTCGGAGATCTGGAAAGAGTTTTTAAATGTTTACAAGAGCATCCGAGATGCAGAAGTTTACTCCCAATTCAAGCTGTTTGAAAGTCACTGCCTCAATGTTATTCAATTGCAGACCAAAGTTTTCCACAAAGAGATCTATGTAATTGCTTTCTTCCTCCACCAAGCCTATTGTTGCGGAGCAGTTTTGAAAAAACATTTACTTTCTGATGTTGGTCAAATGATACTCTGTTAGAGATTGCTCTGCGGTACCCTTTGCTAGGTACCTAGTACCGCTGCGCGGGTACCGCCCGCACCTGCCACACACCAGCCCAGCGGTGCCGGGTGACAGTTTTTTGGCAAAAAATGAGGCGGTACCCGGGTACCACCCCACAGCCCTGCTATAGGGCGGGGGGATTGGGGGGATTGGCTGCACCGGGGTGGAAGTCCCTCTTCTGGCTGAGCGGATCAATCGACCACCAGCCCACACCTTTGACCGCCTTTGACCACTCCCCCCTGGCCAAACTGATTGATAGATCCATATTGACCAACCGCATGACGACGACAAAAAAAAAGAAACAAACAAACATACAAAGAAGGAAAAAAAAACCCTACCCCCTCAACGAGAATCAATCATTGACCCCGATGGCTTGCGCCTGCAACCGACAGAGGTCCAATGAGTCTTGCGCTTTGTTGCCAATGTGTGACCCACAAGTAGGTGGAGCCAGTTGAGGTGCAAGCAAAGGCTGCACCCAGCCAACTCCTGCAAGCAATCCCCAGCCCCCATCCGGCAGCAATCAAGCATGGACCAATCATGAGGGGCCAGGTAAGTCCTCCCTCTCTCTAGTACTACTTCAACATGTCTTCTTGCTTGTTTTTCACCAAATTGCTGATTCTTTTTTTACTTATTATTATTATTTTTTTTGGCCTCTTACAGGTAAGTCTTGCATATTTTTTTCAGCATTTTGCTGATGTTTCATTCCTTTTTTTTTAAAAAATTATTCTTTTGGACTTTGATAGGTAATCTCTCTCTCTCTCTCTAATTATGTCTTCTTGCATGTTTTTAAGGCTTATGCTAATGTTTATTTTCACTTTTTTTTTATTTTTTTGGAACTTTCATAGGTAAGTCTTGCAAGCTTTTGAGCATTTTGCTGATTTTTCTTTTCCTTTTATTCTTATTCTATTTTTATTTGAAACTTGCATGTTTTTCAGCATTTTGCTGATGTTTCTTTGCCTTTTAATTTTTTTTGAAATTTGATAGGTAAATTGATGTTTCTTTTCTCTTTTTTAAATTTTTCTTTTGAAGGAAGGTGATAGTTTTGGATGATGATGAAGATTCTTCCAATTGGTTATTTAAATTTTAAATTAGTTGTAGATAGTTTTCAATAAATATGAAAAAAAGGAAAAAAAAGTGACTTGTCTGGCCATCATGAAATCAATAATTTTCAACAAAATGAAAGAAGTTACTAAGAAAAGGAAAAAGTGACCTTAAACAATTACAAAAGTGACTTGCAACTCTGGGAGTGAACACTGAAATTTTGAACACCATGAATGAATCTGAAAAAAATGAAAACAAGTGACTAAAAAATGAAAAAAATAGAATTGGGACTCTAGGAGAGAAAACAATAAATATGAAAAAAATACAAAAAGTGAATTGGGACTGTGGGAGTGAATCTAGGTGAGAAAGAGAGGGGAGGTACCTGCGGTACCTGCCAAAAGAATTGCCGGTACCCGCCAGGAGGTGCCTGGTGCGGTACTTGGTACCTATTTTTTGAAAAAATTAAACAGGTACCCAAGTACAAACAAACAATCTCTATACTTCGTCTTGCAAAAAGCTGGAAGCTCACAAAATCCAAGGCATCTTCCCTACAAGATGCCACCAATTGTTATTACAATCTTTTCCCTTTTGATTTGAAGGCAATTGATAAACCTTTGAATTTCTGGCTCACACTCCCTCACACTCCTAGAGATGGTTGAAGAATATCCGTTATCCGCCAGTGCCAACGGATACCCGCCAGCGGATACGGATGTCCCCTTCCCCCTGGCGGATATCAGGGTATCCCAGGGGATATCCGCCCATATAGGAGGAAAAAAAAATAAAAAAAAAGAAAAAATAAAATAAGGGCCTTAATAAAAACATGGTTTCTGCTGCGTGCAGCACACACGGATTCCACTTTTGGACACATTTTTTAAATTAATTTTTTACCACTTATTTTTCATGTTTTTTTTGAAATTTTAAATTCATTTCCTAAGTTTTAAAATGCTTAGAATTTTGTGGTAATATTCAATTTCTTTAAAAATCAATGGATCACTTTGAAAATTTCAATTAATTTCTTACAGCTTATTTCTCAATAGGGTCTTGGCTAATCGACTCCAAAAAATTGGAGAGTCAACTCCCAAACCCTGAAACCCCGGGAATTTCCACCAAAATCCCCAAGGAATGGGAGTCGATCCCCCAAACCCGTCAGCAGGCTTGGGAGTCAAAAAACCAAGCATTTTAATTAAAAAATAATCCAACCCCCAAAGGAGTTGGGGGTCAATGCCCCAAAACCCACTGGGCTTTGGGGGTCGCTAACCAAAAAGAGCCCGCGGCGGCCGGGAGGATTCCTCCCGGCCGCTGATGGCACACCCTCAGCGGCGGAGAGAAACACTCTTGGCTGTTGAGAGTGTACACCCTCAACCAAGAGTGTTGTACACTCTCAACGACCGAGAGTGTTTCTCCCGGCTGTTGAGAGTGTACACTCTCAACAGCCAAGAGTATTTCTCCCGGCTGGTGAGAGTGTACACTCCCAACGGCCGAGAGTGTTTCTCCCAGCTGTTGAGAGTGTACACTCTCAACGGCCAAGAGTGTTGCTCTCGGCTGCTGAGGGTGTGCCATCAGCGGCCAGGAGGAATCCTCCCGGCCTCCGCGGGCTCTTTTTGGTTAGAAACCCCCAAAACCCAGTGGGTTTTGGGGCATCAACCCCCAACTCCTTTGGGGGTTGGATTATTTTTTAATTAAAATGCTTGGTTTTTCGACTCCCAAACCCGCTGACAGGTTTGGGGGATTGACTCCCATTCCTCAGGGATTTTGGTGGAAATTCCGGGGGTTTCGGGGTTTGGGAGTTGACTCTCCAATTTTTGGGAGTCGATTAGCCAAGACCCTCTCAATATTTTTTGACATTTTAATCTTTTTTCCTGCACTTGAAGAAATTTAAAAAATTACTGTAATTAGAATTTTGCATCAAAATGAAAATTGATTCTTGAATATTGTAGGGCCTTGATAAAAAAACACGGTTTTTCCGCGTTTAGATGCAGTTTCTGCTGCGCGCAGCAGACGTGGTTTCCGTGTTTGGACGTGGTTTTCTAATTAATTTATTTTTGCCATTAATTGTAATTTCTTTTAAGTTTTTAAAGTTGTTTCCATGGTTAAAAAATGCGTAGAATTTAATGGTGAAGCCCATTTTCCAATAAAATGACTTTTGATTATTATTTTTTTTTTCACTTATTTTTCAATTAATTGTTTGCATGCATGTATGTACCTTATTTTTTATGGTTTTTTGTAACTTTAAAGTTGTTTCCTACACTATTAAGTGTGTAGAAATTTATAGTGGATTTCAATTTTCATAAAAATGAATGGTTCATTTTTAATAATGCAATTACACCCATTTTTTTACTTAAATTTTTACAGCTTAATTTTCATTCTTTTTTGACATTTTAATTTTTTTTCCTACACTTTCAGACATGTATAAAGTTATTGTAAAAAGTATTTTGACTGAAAATGATTACTACATCTTGTATACTGCATTTGACACTGTTTTTTTTATTTAATTCTTCAATTTTTCACTCAATTGTTTGCATTAATTTCTTTACCTTATTTTTTATGCTTTTTTGAAATTTTGAAGCTGTTTCCTACATTTAAAAGTGTTTAGAATTTAATGGTAACATCCAATTTCCATAAAACTCAACAGTTCATTCTGAATACTGTAATTAGTCATATTTTCCAATTGATTTTTAAGAGCTTAGTTTTCATTATTTTTTGACATCTTAAATTTGTTTCCTACACTTTCAGACATGTTTAAAATGATGGTAGCAATCACTTTGCATCAAAGTAAAAACTGTATCTTGAATAGTGCCTTTGACGTGTTTCCTTAATTAATTCTTACACGCTTAATCATCCTTATTTTTTGGAATTTCAAGCTTGTTTCCTATACTTTGAAAGGTTTCAAAATTGATGGCTGTATCCATTTTGCATTCAGATACAATTTGTATGCAGTAAAAATTATGCAAGAAACAGGGTACACTCATATATTAAGATTGAAGCTTGTATTCTTATGGAAATTGGACTTCACCATTCAATTCTACACATTTTTGAATGTAGGAAATAAATTTAAAATGGGCATTAATAAAAAACACAGTTTTTCCGCGTTTACACAAGGTTTTGCTGCGGCACAGCACACACAGATTCCGCGTGTACACGCGGTTTCATTAATTATGCATAAAATATGCATAATTTTGCCTCAGGGGCCACGCGCAAGTACCACAAGTGCCCGCATGAACTTTGAAAATTTTCCTGCAGGCACCAAACAAGAAAACCACTCACCACAATCAAAAAAGGACTTCACCCCCCTCTAAACCTTCAACACACCACAACTCAGTCAAAACTCAACCAAAATCAACAAAAAAAATACCACAATTATTCTTTTTTTCTCCTCTTTGACCCCACGGACTCGGATTTTTTTGATTCACCTCCGGTTCATTCCCAACTTGCAGGTACACTCTAAGCTTCAAAAAATCACAACTTGGCCATTTCTCAACCAAAATTTACAAAAAAATACCAAAATTATCCTTTTTCTATCCTCTTCAGCGCCATGGTCTTCAATTTTGCTGATACATCTCTGTTTTTTTAAATTCATTGTTAGGCCTCAAACTTCAACTCTGAATAACTCAGGCGTTTATCAACCAAATTCTTCAACAAATCATCAATCATCATCTTTATTGACGCTCTTCACGGCCACAGTCTCTGTTTTTGCCGCCGGACCTCTTGTTTTTTTAATTGTTGCTGGAACTCAAAATTGACTCAAACTTGAACTTTGAAGAACTCAGCCATTCCTCAACCAAATTCTTCAAGCAAATCATCAATCATCTTATTTGTTGACCCTCTTCACCACCACCGTCTCCGTTTTTGCCACCCAACCTCTCGTTTTTTTTTTATTCATCACTGGAACCAACGGTGGGCCAGTTACGCTAACCGTAGTGTTAGTGCAGCGTAGTGTT